CTGTCTCTCCTTATTTGGTCCTTCACGGTGAAATCTAAAATTCAAGGAAGCACAGCGCGCTTTTCTGATTGTACATTTGACATTTGGCTCCAGTTTTTAAAATTCATTCACACTATGGTCTCTATCTGTTGCTTGAGGTTTGATCCAACCAGGCCCCAGTTTCATTGCGCTCGTTAAGCTTGAAAGGTTCTGCATAAGCACCATAGAGCTATATTAAATTACTAGAGACTAACTCGCCGTACACGGTGCAAGCTTGATGGGCGCATCCATGCTTGTGCACAAACCTTTGGAAAGCTAAGAACTTCAGGTAGCCTTCGTACGGCTGTTTGTGTTGAAAACCAATGTGTAAATGGGGCTGATTCCCACTTAAACCGAAACGTACAATCAGTAATTGCTTGTAAGCGTTCATTTCGCTCTTACAAACAATGTACACGTGTGTGAACTGTATTTACCTCATGTGATTTTCTTTTTTGGGGGGTCTCAAAGCTCAGGAATTAGTGGAATATTCCATAACACCATTGGGCTATGTCTGATGTTACAATTGTGACGACCTTTACTAGACTGTTTGTGCACTCCCTAGACTTGCCAAAGAAATTGTCTCAAATGAGACAAGAGCCTAGCCAGTTACCTCTGTCTTAATACAAGTGGGATTGTTATTTAAAGGTAATATACAACATTTGCCTTGGCTGTAATTTTCAGAAACGGATGGATTTGGGGGTTAATTAGTACTTTATAGCACATCTTGTTACACTGCATGCTGACCTGTTTAAAGTTTTGTGTTCATAGATGCTGGAACATCCAAGAGAAAAACAATGCTTCAGATGAAGCAGAGCAATTTATAGAAATTGGGGAATTGTCAGGTCTGGGAACCAGACTCGCTGGCTGGCACCCGTTCACAAAATGTGGACTAACTACTTAATTTGGTAAATTGGGGGCAGTACTTGAAAAAAAACACGTTTTTTTTTCCAACGACTGTCAGCTGACCATCGTTCGAACTTGACACGAAAATTCCACTTTCCTTGAAAAATGGCAGAACACTAGGTGCCGTGATTTTACAGGTTGCTTGAGATTATTACAGTCGAATGAGGTATTTCATAATTTGTCATTGCAAATGTTGTATATTACCTTTAACATGACAATATCTGTACAGATTAAAGATACAGTCCATCATTTGTAATTTGTGGATTTTGTTCGTTTGAAGCAACAAAAGTGTTCAAAATCTAATGAAGGATACTGAACAACTAACCTGATGAAGTTTCAGCTAAGCTTCAGCTGTATATTCCGAGAACAACAACATTCTAGGATCTCAATTTCAAATCAAAAGTTACTGAATCATGTTTTGAAGTGTTTTAAATTGCAGCTATACGCGACGTCGCGCACTGACCCGATGAATTATAGCAACCGCACGCACGTCGTGCCAATGCCGCGCGCGCTTCGCGGAATAACAAAACGAACTACTAATTTAAATTTTCCTACGGTGCGTCTTAAGACGCACCATTGGAAAGGCCTTCTTTCGTTGATTACTTCAAAAAGACAGCTTCCCAGAAAGAATAATTTCACAGGGAGTTTAGTGTTCCCTTACTATCTTTCAACCAAGTTTGTTTTTCAACAATAATTACGCCAGTTACTTTTCTGATGGCTGCAAATGATGGACTATAGCTTTAAATGCAAGTGATTGAAAGCCAAAAATGTATATATGCATCCATAGATTTATGAAGGAATATGATGACAAAGAAAGCTGACAATTATCAATTGTCAAGCTTTGACAAAGTATAATTGTTTTACTTAAAAAAAACCACTTTGAGTCAGAAAGTGAAATACATGTAGTCTGTTGTCCATTATACAAAATGTACAAATATTGACTTCTTTAACTCATGGTATAGTAAAACTGTCCTCCCGAGGTGATACATGGAGCATTCCATTTTCCCGAGGCGAGGCCCAGAAAACTAGACTGCTCCATTGATCACTGAGGGAGGCTAGGTTTACTATACCACAAGTTAAAGCAGTCAATATTTGTTTTATAACACCTCACCCACAGATTCTGCTTGATTTTAAGCGATATGTGTAACTGATAAAATTTAATCTAACTACAATTAAAATGTGTGTCTATTTCACTACAAAATTAGTCGAAAATTTACCTGAACTTTTCCAAATTACCCTGTATCAAATGTGTGAACCCAGCTCTGTAGCGCTAGTGTTTGGGAACAGTGCACGCAATGCGCACACTTATATGCATTTGCACAAAGTACCTGTTGCTATGCGTATAGTACTGTGATTGCTAGATGTGTATAGTCTTTTGGGCCGCCACAGCAAGATAGCGAAAATAGCGAATACCGGTGTGACTCGCTCTCGGCCAATCAAGATACAGAATCTGTGGGTGATGTGTTAAAAATACATGATATTGGAAGAAAGCATTGATGACATAATGGTTTAGAAAAAGAATTCATACATACATGTAGATACCTCAGGTTCCAAGCTAGTACTAGTCCAACTTCGTATGAAAAATCCGTTTATTTGATGTTTGGTCATATAATTTGAACATCCTGTATATACATGTACATTTAGCAGTGCCGTAGTAAAAAAGAATAATTTTTTTTAATGCACCCTGTGCATTAATCTGAGTATCGCCCGTTATCCACGGAGCCAGGTCCTGTATAACGTCTGGAATGTCTGGACATGCAGATTTATGCAAGCCGCGCCAGCCAATCGGAGTCGACTTTACTAAATCATGACGTCATTTCATTCCTAAATCAGGACTAAATGGTTTGATTGGTCAAGCTTTCGCCATGGTCTATTACATAGACTAACTGTACATCGTTTCGCATATAAATTACCACATAAACACCGCGTTGCATATAGCGTTACCTCATATACACCACGTTGCATAATAAACTACCTTTGCAAATGTGCGAGACGAATATGTGTACGGGATGGGCACCACATGCAGAGCATAGAACTAATTTGCACCAATGAAAGCAACTCCGACAGTTATCAAAGGTTAAATGCAGTGATTTAATTTATTTCTTGTGACTTTTTTTTTTAAAATCCAGATATAACAAAGCAATTGTTGACTGCTGTGATGTGAGACATGGTGTTTTTGTACTCCCTTGATGACGCATAGCACCCTCGGCTTCACCTCGGGTGCTATGCGCCCCTCGGGTGCTAAAAACGCCATGTCCCACATAACAGCAGTCAACAGTTGTTAAATATCTGACTTTTCCCTTTTAATAAAAGCCCATGTTTTGGCAGATGGTCCAGCAGGGATTTTATCACTGAAATTGTTGCAGACATGTAAACTGAAATTAACACACCGAAAACCAAGTTGATTTGAATGCTATGTAAATATCTGTAGATTTGTTTTTTAAAGCTGCACTAGTGATGGGCATTTCAATGTGTTTGCTGTTATAAATAATTGTACATAGATATATTTTATGTAAATTCAGCAACCTTAAGTAACCTTGGTGTGAAACTCATCGCTGTGATTCACATCGATTGTTAACAAGGTGATAATTTTATGGAGTATAATTTAAAAAGAAAACCATCCTGTTATGTAAGGATAATGTGTGTCCATGTACAATATCAAATATTCAACACCAAAAATTATTTACAATCGAAATCCATTGAGGACAATTCAGGTTTATTTCTTTGACAGGAACCACATTTTGAAATCTCTTTTTATTTTTAATTACCGGATCTTTTTTTTATGCCAATCAAAGCTAATTGATTCCACATACATTTGGAATATATTTGTGCCATTTATCTCCCCCGTCCTCTGATTGGTGGGTTGTTGGATAACGTCATCGACATTTTCGTCCCAACCCACGGCCAAGTCGCACCGTGGAAATAAAAGTTCAGTTCCATGGTAAATGTAGAAGTTCCATTGCAAGGTCACACTATTGGTGGCTGTGATCAATCAGATGACGAGGATTTATTCTGGTGTTGTATACAACAAATAAGGCAAAAAAAAAAAGTTCTGCTTCCAGTTTCTCTACCTACCCTATTATGACAGCCTTATCCCTAATTTTTCTAATGAGAAAAAAAACACGCCAAAAACCATCAATTTCGACCTTTTACCCTTGACTACACGCAGACGCCTCCACAAAAAAATGGGCCCCCCGAAAAATTCCCTTCCTACCGACCTTATTTTCGAATGCCATGTAATCGAAAGCAGAACTATTTTTTGTTGGCCTAGTATTAATATTTCACATTGGTGCAGTGGAAAGAATCATTTCATTCGGCGGCAGAAGGAATGTTCCATTCCACTCAGCTTCGTCTCGTGGATTGCAACATTCCGTCTGTCGCCTCATGAAATTCTCACCATTGCACTCATTAACATTCATTGTATAATATTAGCTAGAAAAAAAGTTTCAACCGCCCAAGTGCTTGTTACTGGCTCTAAAGCCGGGTTTTGCTTTACGCATAAATTTGCCTGCCAATATTTTCTGCTTTGTAATATATGGAATTTTGCACCGATGAACATGTTTTTCTTTTTTATCTGAAACCAAGTAGTCGAAAGTGGTCAAAAGAACTTAGCTACAGTAATGTACGCCTATATTTTAAATCCAAATACAAAATGCATCAACATCTAACAATGCCTAAGTTAAACTGAAAGTGTAGTTAATTATTAACACAAAAACATATGGTTCCTTAGTACGTACTAACGCATTTTGCACCGTAGCCACTAATTACAATTTAGCTAACAGTTAAACCTGTATACATAATTAAACGAACGACAGTACTGAGGTTAATGACTTTTTCCCCAGAGTTTTTACTGTTATACATCGCAACGCTCGTAGATTGTTTGCTGCAGGGAAAATGCAAACTGAAAACAAATATTCGTTGTAATTTTCATAGCGGTCTTTCATAGCGGTCTTATAGGCAAAACTTCACATCAGTAAGTTTTGGTAGTTTGTTAAGTTTAATTTGTCTTAAAGAGGTTAATATCTTTAATGTTCCTTTTGTTGAGGTGAACTTGGTTAAATAAAAATCAAAGTTTATTCTCCCAACAAGTACAGTTGTCCTGCGTTCATTGGTATACCTGAATGTATTATGTAAAATATATCTTCATTTTGAAATCGCAAGTTTATGCGGGTTTTTTTCTTCGTACAATCGGTATGAATTAATTATTGCAGCGCACGCTCCTAGCTGCATTAGTTGTTGGGTTTTCTTTCTGAAGAAAAAAAATCCCGCGGATTCCAAAGGATTCGTTATAACAATATGCAGCACGTACGTCTGGCGATAGCGTCGCGAGTTGAGGGTAGCAAGGGATGCGGCTAGTTCCTCCCGCACCCGGAAAACAAAAAAACCCAACAAGCAAACAAACAAAAAAAAACAGCAGGAAAAGTGACAAACCAAGTTCCAGATTTCCCGACACTCTCACCCGTTTTAAAATGTATACGTGCAATTTATAAGTCCGAAGCCAAAAAAGATATTGCAGGGAAAATGTCGTTGCGCTAGCTTACAGGCGCCGTGGTCTCGTAAAACATCAACTTTGACGGCCGGTGTTGTAGTGCTTAGCCATACGAGCAGAGTTTCTTGACGGTCAACACCGTGCAGACAAAGCAGCATCCCATGATGCCGAAGCAGACGGCGAACGTAGTCCGGCGTGCGGCCGCCGTCTCCAGTCGCTCGCGGGTATGATGTTCTCTCATCGCCTGCAAAATGCAAGCACGGTCATTTAAGCGAGGGTTTCCTCGAGGCAAAATAGTCGAAACTAGCTTGGACAATGGAGGCCGGTTAACAGGTCCGAAAAGTGTCTTACGCCGACCAAACCACGATTTAAACATCGTCACTGAATTTCTCTCTTAACCTGAACCGTTTCTTAATAAGCTCTGAGAAATGTGGGTTGATATATAATTTGACCTAAAAGTCGCTCTATTTTATAGATTTAGATCATTTTTCACTTTATGGATAATCACCCTTAGGCCCTATTGATCCTCAACCCATTGCCATTTAATAAAAAAGTTGAACCTCCCAAAATTGAACAGGAAGTGGAAGAGGGTAGGCCTAAATCAAGTTTGACGTAGGCCGTCATATCATGAACGCCCGATGGAAAGTTGTTTAAAGAATACAGATTCTTTGACTTGAGGGGTGCCTTAAATGTGGATATATCTAGGACATTGCTACTCTATGAAACGCATCAGTAGGTCTTTGTTATTGTCACTGTATCGTTTAACTAGGATCAAACTTTTGGGAGGGGGAACTATAATACCTGGGAATACATCAGTTTATTTAAAGACGGCACTAAAATGCACATTATCAATATTGTATTTAGAACACCGACCTTGTGCCCGTGTCTGAGAAGGTTATCTGCGATCTCGTCAGCATTCTCCACAGCCTTATTTACGGCTTCTTTCGAACCGAACCAGCGTTTGTGTCTTATCATCCTCATTTTCCTCTTCCTCTTCTTTGGGAGGCTAGACATCTTGTCGGAAGTCTCAGGCTTGTAACTGCTACGGGTTGTTTGCAGGGGGTATTGTTTAGTGTCGTCGCCGCCCCTAAAGGCACTTCTGGAGACGATTGCAACTTTGTTGTGGGGTAGGCCTAAGCCCGACTCATGTCCATGCACAATGTTTTTCATACTCCTCGGCCCTGGAAATTGAAAGCCAAAGTTAAATTCAAACAGATGGCTTTAATTGCAGTTGACCCGTTCTAGCCCAGGTTGGACGTCTTCATAAGCATTATAACGGTATACCTGGGCTATAGACCGTTCCTATAACTTGGGTTGAAGTCAGACCATGGTCAGACTCTCACCAAAACAGAATAGTGGCACTCAAAAGTGACATTCTGATATTTCTTGATACAGTACATCTGAGCATGCATGGAACACACCTATGATGATCTGAGCAGCTTCTGATCGGTATACTGTACACAACGCCCTGTTGGACTATCTCAGTAGCTGGTATGCTATAAGGACACCTTCTAGGAATGGGGTCCTACAAGTAACGATTACCCTTTAGCCCAGCAGTAATGAAGACATCGTCCAACCCGGGCTACCCCTAATTACTAAAGGACTTTTGAGCGGGAAAATTGCATGTAGCCTAACGACTCATTACATTTTGCAGATTAAAACAAAACTTTAAGGAAACCTATTATAATCATACAAGCATTGTTTTAAAGCTTTCTTTCTCTGAGACTAGATGTGCATAGAATAAAGCTGTTTGAGTGTCTCCACGATACCGCGATTTTAGTTTTTACTTCGTTATGACAGTTTGATAGCTACTCACCACATTGAGAAATCTGCCCCAGCGAAACAGCCGCTAAAACGATGATCCAAATCAACTTAATCTCCATTCTCCAACGCTCTTCATACCAACTAATTAGTTTGTTTAAACCGTCTAGTCCACGCAGCAACAAGTATTTATGTTTTATGTTCTCATCCGAGAACAAAGAAATGTTGTTAAATCTACAACGTCAGACTTTAAGTAGGGTTTACATGTGCGATAAAATTAATTTGTATCTTTCGCGTACTAAATATATTTGAAAATTCGATTGTTTGCGTGCGCGTGACATCAAAAACGTGCGCGCTACGCGATTGCGCGTTTGCCCTCATCATCTAGGCGTCAAGTAGATCTGACATCGCGCATTAAGTAAGTGTCCTCCACTGCTCTCTGTCTGATGCCACGTGCCAGGTGTGTCGATCTTTAAAGTTGACCCCCGTGGTTGACCCCCTCTTGGTAGCTTGTTCTTGTGGATTGCCTCTAGAAGTGCTTGCTTGGCAGGAGTTTCCTCAGGTAGTCTCAGGAAATGGCCTGTCCACCTAAAACGTCTTCGGGTAATGGCAGTACTCCAAGGGATCTCGTTGGCTCTCCTGTACAGTTCTTTACTGGTGATTTTCTTTGGCCATTTTATGCCAAAGATTGAACGCAAAAGCCTTCTGTGAAATACATCAATGTTCTCTTCTAGTGCCGAAGATATTAGTGCCGAGGATATTTTGTGTCTCGAGGATATTCGTGCTACATCATACGGAGGCGTCAGTCCCTCTTCTGTCACGTCCGAGAACTTTGCCTCCGCGGAGCATCATAGTTCTAGTAGACCGACAGCTATCGGATGACACGCCAGCCCATGCAGCCCTTAAGCTTAGCGTCGACGTACTAGGGGGACTCCACCCTGACATTGCCTGGAAGAGACCCAGGGGCCGACCCCGCAACACATGGGTGCGACAGCTAGAAGTTGACCACAAGCATCAGCTATGGCAGTCTGCATCTGATCGCTTGGTCTGGGCATGGCTCAACGTCCCCCATGATGGATTTGGAGAATGATGATGATGATGATGATGATGATGATGATGATGATGATGTGAAGAACAAATGCGAAGAAAGGACCCATTGTCCTGTCTTGTTATGAAAGAGTATTAAATTACCATACCATTCCTAAATCGAATCCGTATTTTTTTTCCCTATATGACCGGTCACCATGGATGGAGACCAAAAACCCTTAAAAGAGATTCCAAATTTTCACTCACTTTGTGCGAAAAGCAATTTCGTATCTAGTCTCGCACCAGTTCAAAGACATGTCACATGGGCCCATGCTCATTTGCATTGATATACTAAAAGTAACCTACCGAATTATTATCAAAAGCGGATTCAAAATTGTATAATGGGTACTTAAACACCCCGTGAAATCATTCCGTCTGGCTTGCTCTCATTTAGAAGAAATTGGAAATGCAGATGATTGCCAACAATCAGTCAATTAATTGATTTTTAAAATAAAGAGTTTCTGTTGATATCATTTATTCGTAATCCAAAAGTTGTGCATGGTTTTTCGACAGTTTTTCGAAAAAGCTTTGTCAGTGATATTTAAAAACATACATTAGACATAGAGCTATAGGACCCGGAGACCCGACTGTACCTCATATTAAACACACAAGAGGACAGGCCACGGCCTCGTTCATGGTTGAACTGAAAACCCCAATGATAAATACGCTCATTGAAAAAAAAAGAAATAGGACAAATACACTCACAACTCACAAAGGTGTTTGCCACACCCATCATACTATAGCTTATTTCATCATCTTTTATTTTCTGTTGATTGATTGATATATAGTTTTTTTGGGGGGGGAGGGGGGTGGGGGTAACCAATCACTTTGGGGAAAACATTTCATCCAAAGATGATCACCCCTAAAAGTAGTCCTGAAGTTCATCGCCACTTTAAAAAATTGATGTCTGCGCTCCATTGTAAAAAATAGAGAGCAATTTTAGGTCCCAATTTTGTAGACGAACATCCCCTTTGGCTCCAGGAATAGTAAATTCTATTATAATACACAATCACTACAACGAAGGATAATTTTTTTATGGACTCCATCGTACGTCTTTGTGGCGTTCTGTATGTGGTCATATATAACTCGAGGGCCGCCCGATAGTCCGAAGGTCCGATAGTCTGAAGGTTCTTTAGTCCGAAGGTTCGGTAGTCCGAATGCACAAAATTTCCATAAGAGTGGGTTCGTTAGTCCAAAAATGAAATAAGGTTCGTTAATCCGAACATTTGATGCAATAGTCCGAACGTTCATTAATCCGAAGGTTCATTAGTCAGAAGGTTCATTTATACAAAGGTTCGATAGTCTGAATTTAGAATAGGTTTATCAGTTCGAAGGTTCAATAGTCCGAAACGAAAATAAGGTTCAATAGACCGAGGTTCATTATTCCGATTTGACAATAAGGTTTGATAGTCCGAAAAGACTATAAGGTTCGATAGTCCGAATCGACAATAAGGTCCGATAGTCCAAAGTGTCATACTGACGAATCGTACGCCCATTCGAACTATCGAACCTTATTCTCAATTCGAATAATCGAACCTTCGGACTATCGAACCCTACTGTATATTCGGACTATCGAACCTTATCATCTATTCGGACTATCGAACTTTATTTTCGATCCGGACTATTGAGCCCTATCGTCTATTCGGACTATCGAACCTTGATTGGATTAATTAACCTTATTCTATTTTCTGACTAATGGGCCCTTTGGACTATCGAACCTTCGGACTATTGGACCTTTGGACTAACAAACCTTCGGACTAATGACCCTTCGGACTAAAGAACCTTCGGACTATCGGGCTGTAACCATATAACTCACGTTGGGTCTTTGCATGGGTGAGCCCACACTAAGGACACTCTGTCAGATGCAAGGGCTATATGGAGCTTATATACATGTACATGCATTTGCTTTATATACATACATGTAAATCATTATTGTATTCTTACCATACATAATTCAGCTTGATGAATCACTTGATGAAGTCGGCAATTCCACGAAACAATTTAGCGGCGCCAATGAAACGTTAACATGGAATTGCCCAAGTAATCACGACCAGTTGGATACATTTCAGGCAGTTCTTTGTTGTGTAACACCAAGTTAACCTATTCAAAAATATTTTGTGTAATTAGCTGGTACATGTACGGTAACTCTTAAGATGTGCTGTACACGTACCTTGGCATTATTTTATCAAGCCCACAATCATATCAGCAATGAACAAGCATGTGAGTTGTACACGTAGGCCTACTGTATGTCTTCATAATGAACACACGGAGCACATGACGTGTTAAAGTGCTTGCTTTTTCACCAGTAATTGACATATCGTGAATAATCACACATCAAACGGGATGAATTCCACACTAGTACATCATAAGACGAATCCAGAAAGCTCTGGAAATGTGAAGACATATTCGGAAACGTGTTTTTAGAGCACACCTTGGATGCACACATCAGGCAGCAGACGCTGGCGGCCAAGATTTGTGGCATTGGTTATTGATGCATGCGGTGCGCGTGACGTGACGACAACGCACTACCTGTACCCAATGATGGTGTAGTACGTCATCATGAATATTTGATTTTTTTTTTATGAATATTTAGTTTATTATATATATTCACTAGCCTTATACTTTAAATACATCAAATAGTCCCGTATTGGCATAGATCGTTCGACTAGTGTAGCGGATAAGGCTGGTGTGATTAAATAACAGGATTACGGGTACGAATTGGGGTGACGTAAGTATCTGGTAATTAGAGAGGATTGGAGGAGGGTAAGGCCAAAAAAAAAAAGTCTCCGGTTTCTGGTATGCGCGCGCGTCGCCGTAGCCATGCGCGTCGGCAAAATGAAACAGGTTTTTTTTCAATGAAAGATGATGTCTCAAAACCGCCAAACTCACTGGTTTGACTGGAATCCTGCTGCTGCACAATTTTAACGTGTTTTTAGATTGGGTTATGGTCGAGAATAAGCTTTATGTGGCCTCTCTGGACTCCCATATATTTGCACTAAGTTTAGTCGGGCACCATTTGCAGTCATCAGCCGACATTTGAAGCGAAAAAATCAGGTAAAAAAAAAGCCGCGTCGCCGCACCACTTTTTGGGCAAGCTCCATACCAGAAACCGTAGACTTTTTTTATTTGGCCTAAAGAGTGAGAGTCGAGGAGGGAAAATAGATGAAAGAACCATAGAAAGTAACCTTTTGGCACTTGAATTTTGATTGATAAAAGTGACGTACCTATACTAGCCTTAATGTTGATTCAAAAATTCTTGCTCTAATTTCATTGGTAATAAGAGGAATCAATTGCAGTGTTCGTAGAATCAACTGGTCAGATCTTCTGGTGATTGTAGTCAGTGTGCTTGGAGAAACATCGGTCAATACCCAAGCTTCCAGTCTACCTGGTATTGCAAAGGCTTCCCGTTGATGTACCTATCGTAGTTCACTTCCATGATGTCAATAATCTGTGCAAACAGAAAAACCACTACAATGCAATTCCTGTGTAAAACAAATTTATTTTAACCCTCATTCTCTGAGGGTAGTTTACTGCATGTCAGTTGGTTATGCCAATGCCCTCCAGCTGCAGTTTATTGGCAGATAGTTTGTCTTAACAGTGAAGGCTCCAATTGGCAGGAGTTGGAGGCCCTGGAGGGTGCCTGATACTGACCAGCTGGGGGCACTCACTTTGTTATCAGAGGACTCTCATTGTTCTCTGTGGCATGTATTGGAGTGCCTGTCCAGTTACCCTTGAAATGACATGGCAGATATTGGAGGGCCGTGCAAAAAACATATGCCATTTTCTTAAGGCACATAATGGCATGCGTTGGAGGGTCCAGTTGGGTAAGGGTTAAAGCAATTTTCACATTATGAACCGGATTGAAGCGAATGAATAATAAATGAAAATAAATGCCACCCCCCCCTCCAAAAAAAATAAATAGAATATTTTTGTCAGAACAGAAAACAGATCAACTTCAGTATATTTTCTAGGTACATGCCAGACTGGTACAGGTACAAGTTATTTTTGGTTTGATGACATCATCAGTCCAAAAAGGGGAGGGAATATTGATTTAGGGCGGAGTGGATACCCGTTAAGATAAAATAACACTTGGAAATACTGCAATTATAAGTGTATGTATTAATAACACCCAACTTCCAGTTTGTCACAGCATTTAGAGCAAACATGGGTGTTGCAGGGGGGGGGGGGCACTTGATACCTGATGATGTCATGATGGCGTAACAACCTTTGTTGAAAAATTGGTTACTCACGTTACGAAAATGTAACGTGAGTAACCGATTTTGTGTATTTTGTTTATCATACATAACACATTTTTCTGGATGTCATCTTTGGTGCTTAGGTAGGTCTAGGTCTACTCTATCTACCATGGGGATAACAGTTATTAAACCTTTTCAGTAATTACAGCCCAAGGAAACTCAAAAGTACATCAAAAATGTAATGTGAGTAACCGTGGAATTGCCCATATGGTAAACTGTATACAAAATCTGTTGGACTCTGATTATTGGTGGTATGCCTTATCCCAGCATAGCATAATCAGTTTACTAGTGTAGTACTCATTCTAACAGATTCCAACAAATCCTGGTGTTGGAGTTTGACTGGATTGGGATTGTTAGGGTTAACATAAATCATAGCCCTAAGTTATTATTAGAATAGGTAGATGGGTCCAATTTTTCTAATAAATTAATTTACTTGGAGCCTGTAAAAATCTTTTATCTCCATGAGTTGTTTTCGTGTCTCGCTGCGGCCCCTGACCACACTACAATAGCATTGCTGGACATGGGTGGGGCAGGCTGGCGTCATCCAATAAAAAAAAAAAAATCTATTCATTTGCATACCAGTTTTCATCGCCTGCTTTGTGTGACCATTCTGCCCTTCAGACTCAAGAACCATTGAGTTTTAAGATCATAGGTCTGGGAGCTAGATAAGCCAATGTAAAAAATTCACACCCACCCATATATGTGATGCGATCAAGCTAAATGAGTTGTTTGTCGGCGATATTTATGTCACATCACTTCATCACATCTCTTGGTGTTCCGACTTCCATAATTTTTGAACTAAAGATGGTACCAGCATGCGGTTTTCACAGCAGTAATGCTGAGATTGTGCTCTTTTGAAATCTGTAATAAAAAAACATTTGACCAGGGTCGACAAACGACTCATGTAGCTTGATCGCATCACATATGCTCATTACAATTAAGGTATAGATGAACAAACGGTGTTCATGTAATCAACCCTTCAACCTGGACTTCGTACAAGTACAAGTATACGGGACTTTGAAGTACAAGTTCCTTGACTGCTCTTTGTTAAACACGAACATATCTGTACTACTTACCGCACCGGGATGAGTATTGGCTGCAGTGTGTGCTGTAACAGTCACCTGAAAGTTGTAACATACAGTGGCCAATCAAAAACAGATGGCAAGTCGAAATCCTGATCACTCTAGTTACCACAAATCTTCTTGGTCCTGGCTCACTGGCATTGTGATTTGCCCCTACGTCAGTAGCCTGGTCTCGAAGAGTCGACTAGAAATTCAACTTTCGTTATCCAATCAGTGTTTGACGAGAGTAATGCGACTTAATACTAGTCTAACAATTGTTACTAATCAGCGTTCGACCCGAGTACGTAATGCTATGGTTAATGACAGTTCTTTATTCAACTTTCTCTTAGAGGTTAGCAAAATGTGAATAACAGAAGAAAAACAGTGCTCACCGGGTAGTTCTAGCCAAACTTTCCCAGCGCCGGGCTTTGGAACAGTGTGTGATGTTCCAACTGGACACGCTCCCCCCAACAGGATGAAATACAATTTAATGCGTTTGTTCCACCAGCGGTTCATCACTTGCCATAATTGCCCCGACGAAGGTGCATCGCAACGGAAGCTCGGCTACAACTACCCAGTGATGAGTACCGGTTTACTTCTGTTATATTCACATTTTGCCATGGTCCACAGTGCTACGTCAGTATCCCTCAGATTGCGCTTAGAGTGTGTGTACATGTGTGACCAAAAAGTATCCATCGACTCTAGCATAAATATTCCACAGTTCTAATCAATTTTTAGTCCTTGCTTGAAAAGTTAATAATCAGGCTTCACACTGTTACCCATACCTGACTCTCTCAAAGACCTACCTTGGGGGAAGACCATAGTGGACTGCTGGCCGGCAGCGGCTCAGTTCGGAAGACGTCGAGTATTGCATGAGAGATCCATCCTTTGTCTAGCGCATTGAGAACTGTGTCATCACTGATGACGTTACCCCGTCCGACGTTGATGAAGACAGGTTGCTTGGTGCAGCTGGACAGGACGTCACCTGAGAGCAGGTCATCTGTTGCTGGTGTTTGAGGCAGCACATTGCAGATGTAGTCACAATCAGCGAGAAGCTCAGCCAAGCCTGACAATGGCCTGTACAATACACAGGGGAACATATAGCTGTGTCTGAAACAGGCTTCCAGATTGTCATCACGTTCCTACGTACAGGGTGTCTAAAAAAAAACCTGAACCTGTATTTGCAACTGACAAAGACCTAGACCTACATGTAGACACAAGTTTTTGACGCGGTCTATTATTCAAATCATGGGAGTTTGATTACATATCCGAGTAGATAGGCCTATAGCCTTTTCAATATAGTTGGTACTAAATCTGTATTGTCACAATAAACCTTTGCTGGTCCCAGAGGGCTAGTCTAGTATCCTCTTTGCGCCTACCTGATATGATTGATTGACTGACTGAATCTCATTCACTCACTGATTCACAACCTGTCACGTGATGTAAACTACATGTAAGTTACCTATCTCACTGACTGACTGTCACTTGGGACTTACCGGTACACTGGTCTGGTATCAGTTTTATGAGGCTTGCCTATTCATGTAAATGATGGAAAATCCTACACTACATGTGGATACGTCTGGTGCCGTTTTTTTGTGTGTAATTTCATCGATACATGTGTAGGCAATACATGTATAAGTAAGTCAAGTCTTGCTGCCAATGGCCAAAGTGGACTGTTTTCATTTCCATCCATCCATTTTACTGCTGCAGCTTACTCTACATAATGTGACCTGCCATATCATAATGAGGAATAACCCCCACCTCTGACTTTTTAAGTTACGCACCTCGTGTTAAAGCGCAAATCATTAGCATTCCAATGATACCAAATTTATTTCTGTACCTTAATTTATTCCAAAGATATACCACAGGAACTTCAACAGTGTCCCACTGAACTTCGTCAACCTAATTTCGAGAAAAACGGCTTTGAAGAAAGAAATACGCATTGCGCCACTAACGGAAGTGGAAAACGTTCTTCCGTTTACAACTTTTGGGGATACATGTATTTTTTTTCCCAACAAAAAGGCATAGTGTGAATACCTTGGCTACTAAAAAATACGAAAAAACAATATAGATTTTGACATGATTTTCTTTAGTGTATCCAACTTCAGGCGTTGATTACTCAAAACATGGTTTTGGGGGTCATTCCTCATTTTTCCACAGTAGGTCACTTTTTTTAAAACCCAACCCTTCCATAGGGTCCAATCCAAGGCCAGTGATCAGTGGTTCCCCCCCCTCCCTTCTGCCCCACAACTAGAAACTCCTGGCAATTAATGCCAAAGACACCAAAGCATTGCTTGAGTACATATCTGTCATCCACAGGCTCTAGTTCGGATACTGTGACATTACTGACAATGGCTGACAAAATAAGATCAGGCAAGCTTAGTAAAGATGTTTCCAGAATTCACAAGTGACAGTCAGTCAGCAAGAGGACATTTGATTGGCCCTCTTGGGACCACCAACTATTACATACAATGTAGGAGAGTTCTGCTTACCTTCAACTAACTCAACAACCCAGATGGTCCAAACGTGGTGCTGTTTTAAAGATATAGTCCATCATTTTTAATTTGTGCATTTTGTTCGTTTGAAGCAACAAAAGTGTTCAAAATCTAATGAAGGACACTGAACAACTAACCTGATGAACTTTCAGCTCAGCTTCAGCTGTATATTCCGAAGAAAAAAAAACATTCTAGGATCTCAATTTCAAATCAAAAGTTGCTGAATCATGTTTTGAATTGTTTTGAATTGCAGCTATACGTGATGTCGCGCACTGATCCGACGAACTATAGCAACCGCGCGTGCGTGCGTCGTGCCAATGCTTGGACGCGCTTCGCCGACTGTTGGAAAGGCCTTCTTTTGTTGATTACTTTAAAATGACAGCTTGCCAGAAAGAATAATTTCACAGGGAGTTTAGTCCACTTACTATCTTTCAACCAAGTATGTTTTCCAGCAATAATTACGCCAGTTACTTTTTGGATGGCTGCAAATGATGGACTATAGCTTTAATTGTACAATGTGTAGTTCATGAAGAATTTCCATTCGTGCTTTGTGCATTTCAAAAGAGACAATTTTTGACATCAACTACACTATGTGATAGAATACACAAGTGACAGTCAATGAGACTCTTAGGACAAACAGTGAACTCCAGGTAATCTGACCCATGTACCTGTATTCATCCACATTTTTGGATCTCTCTTCCGGTCGTAGGTCTCTTCTGCCTAATCCCCATATTCTCATTCCGAAGGCCTTGCAGAGCCGTGCAACTGAGAAAAGACAATGAGGCTTGCATGAATCTTTTGCATGATGTGCTGCATGATAAATGCTGCATAAATGAGGAATGATTCAATTTCCTAGCTGTATACATGTACATGCAAATGCACATAAGAGCTTTTCCCCTCCCCTTACTACATGTCTGGCAAAGCATTCTTCTCAGCTCAAGAAGCCTTAAAAAGAAATTAAGACCAGATCAGAATGAATTGACATCACATGACAAGATATGAGACAAGCTGAACACAGGACAAAGTGCGACAAAATACATGTTGCCAAAAGAAGAATAGAGCAGCAATAAGGCAACAAGCTAGGTCAGATAAGACGAGATGACATGCAACAAGATAAGAGTCAAGGTAAGATGAGACACAGGTCAAGGTAACCTGATCTGATGGAATGAGACAAGACGAAGGCAAGAAGATGAAATGAGTTCAGATGTGATGAAAATGATAAGATGCTATGTGACAACTTGATTGAGCCTTGAGATGAGAGGACTTCAAAATGTGATGCAATGAGATTAGACCAGCCCACAGGGCAATACTAGCTAACTTTCTGTATGTAATGGCACCTGCTGGGCCATCTGGGCAGATCCATGTTTGCTCACAAACCAACAGAATGCTGAAAACTGCATATCTTCGCTTAGTGTATTTGAAATAATGCATGAAACCCTGGCAGGACCAAGACCTACATCTTCAAGGTCCACAACCAGTGAACCATCTCACTATGCTCTGCACAAACATCTCAAATTTGCAGGTGTATTTTTGTGTGTGCTAATGTTGATGAAAATCAATAAAAAAAATCATGCATCTGTGGCCACTTTTTAAAACTCTGGCACTGTGCCAGCACTTTTCTACACTCTCCAAAAACACTACAATATTAGCAATTTGTGCTTGTAAAAGGCAGTGGCCTGCATGTACATGTACATTTCTATTCCATCTAACTTCAACACAAATCACACCATTTTGCCCACATAATTTAAAATATCTGGCTGCTCCCGTGACATTTTCAAATATATTTGGCACTTAAGTGAATGAGGAGTTACGTTGTTATACTGGTAATGTACCGTATGTTCACGGGACATCTGTATGAACAACACAAGTGAGATGAAACACAAGATGAGCCTACAGGTACATGATGTCGGCCACATACCGTTAATATAACAAGATGAGATGAGGCGAAAATCTATAGTCACTTGAGGAACTTTGTACTTACTTTCTTCCCCAATGTCTCCCAAACCTATTATTCCGAGAGTGAGGTGTCCCAAAACACGATAGTTTCTACGTTTCCTGAGACATACAAATGGAATCAGAGTCAAATTGCATTTCTATTCATTACTTTTTTTTAAATTCAAAACCTCAATTGCATGTACACATGTACATGTGTATTTAGTTTGCTTTGATAACATTTCTTGCTGTCTGTCTTTTCGGATGACTTTTTCTTCCATACTAAATTTAAGCTTTATATGCTCTATAAGTCATTTGGAACTATACAAAAAACACACTTTTCTTCCTCTTATAAGACTTTATAGGTTTTTAATTTTATTCTCCTAAAGATTTTTTCCAATAGTTATTTTTTAAATTTTAACTAAAAAGACAGCAACCCTCTGAAAAAAAAAGGTTTGCCCGTAACAGATCCACTCTGAGAATAGACTGGTTCCCACTACCTATCTCATTGATTCTAATAGGGGCAGGAACCAGTTTACCCTACAAAAACTGAATTATTTTAGGGGTAAATGATCTACAGTTTTGAAGTAATTACCCTATAACTCACATGGGCCATTTTTGTGTCATTTTATCCATTCACATAAAGTGAACTTAACTTTTGTATTGCTAGAAAAAAAAAACAATTGGAAAGACATTGTATTTCTTTGAATGAAACTCAAAAATGTACAATGTATCATCCATGGACAGTGAATTGACCATTGACCAAAAGTATGGTGTTGCCATCGGCGTCGCATTTTTCAGTTATGGCAGGGACCATATTTTGATCGATTTCATGCAAGACTTCTTGCAACACGGCCATACCTTATTGTGCTTCCGCAGTTGTTAAAATGACCTACCATTCTTTCTGTTCCTGACACTTCTTCATTTCATAAAAATGCCGTTCATGTGCAATCATCTGACCAATCACATACTCAGCCATGCTAGTCCTCAATCCAACACCTAATCGCGTAAACATGAAGGGCGGAGGTATGTCCTTAGGGTTAACTTCCTTTAAAATGCTGTCGATACCTGAACAGGAAAGAAGTTAGTATTAAGTTAACTGCTGTAAATTGCTTGGCGAAAAATTGCCAATGGAAACACCCCCCTCTCCCAAAGAAGAGGCACTTAAAAAAAAAATCAAAAATAAAGGAGTATAAATGCTTTAGATCCCTTACCCTCCATGGATTTGTTACGCCCCAATTACAGCAATGACCCAACTACATGTACACATACGTACAGTTGGGACATCCCAACTAGATCGTGCAGGGGAGGATCCAGGAAATTTTCCGCGGGATGGGGGGGGGGGGGGTGTTTCAGGCCTGTCAGATTTTTTGTGTGTCTGATTGCTATGGACAGACAGAATGTCATGTTTTTCAATTACTATAATTGGTGTAATTTTTTTTGGGTGTCAGAGCAGAGGAGGGGGGTTCTTGATCCGCCCCAGCCGTGACCATCCCAGCTATCAGGATTACAGTTGAGAAAGTTTCAACTATACCTGGGACAATCTCAAATATTACCCGTTCCAACTATAGTTGGCAGGATGGTTTAATAGTTGAGGCATAACAAATTCGTGAAATGTTTATGCGTTTTTTGTTTTCCTTCTGGTTTTTGGCAGAGCTTTTTTGCGGCTGAAACTCCCCATTTTGAAGATTGTTTCAAATCCATGTAATCTTTAAAAGTAGTCCAGTTTGCCACATTAACGTCACTGATCTTTAAACGTTGTGTGAAAGCTTCCCCAATTTTTTATTAGTTTTATTAATACAACATTAAATGTGCATTCTGATCTTCATTCACTGGTACCTGAAGAGCTTGATCTTACCTGCCCATGTACTCTGTACCCATTTTGTTTTAGGCAACTGATGGAAAAAGCTGCCGATGAGGTCAGGGTCGGTCAATAAAATCTCTGCTTCTTGAAGCTGTGCGACGGTCTCCTCTGCAAATTACCAAGGGAAAAATGCATTAAACTCTGACCAAGGCCCAACCATTAAATGACGATTCATGCGGTTACAAAAAATATCCCAACTAAATAACCCAAAAACAAAAAAAATCATATGCCCACCTACACCTGTACATCATACATGTTGGACGTGATTGGTCGATTCTGTATGAAATAACAAATAAACAGGTGATCAACTGATGGCGGCGCCATCGGGCGCGCAGCACGATCGACCGATCGCACAGATCCACCGATCGTGCCTAACATGTACACGATAATGATTAATCACACGTAGTATCTACGTAGTCCTGGTAACTGGGACCCTACTTATTGTCTTTTCAAAACATAGGGACATTGTCTGGCCTACTATTGCCAGACCATGTCCCAATGTTAGAAAGGCGATAAGTATAGGGTCCAAGCTACTCAGACTTTCCCTCGGATCAGTGAATTGTAAAATCCAAGGCCTGTATTGGCCCCTCTCCGGGGTCTACCTGATGTTCCCCAATACCTGTGTTCCCCAAAATCCTTAGGGTTAGGGTTAGTGTTACTGTTTGGGTTAGAGGCATTTGTATTTGGGGTCTACAATGTCTTATAATAATAATAATAATTTGGGAGGCTAATCATCCTTACTCGCAGCTGGTATGCTGAATTGCAAAGGACGCGGCTACAACGTGGTCGGGCCGCTGGCACGTAAAGGCGCCTATGGCTGCCGGCCACATCGACCCATATATAACCACGGAGCACAGCCTGAGATCGAAAGTGTTTGATTTTTTCGGAGGGACGAAAACCGGAGGGCCCGGAGAAAAACCCTCGTGGCACAGGAGAGAACCAACGCACAACTCTACTCACATGCGATCCGCGGCCAGGATTCGAACCGTGGTCACCTTGGTGAGAGGCGAACGCTTTACGCACAAGCCTCCCAATTTCATGCTCTGCTAACCACAAAAATCCGCACTTACGATCACCATTTGGTGCTAACTACATGTAGTTGAACATTTTGCACTATACCCTGTAAGCAGAGAATCCTAGTACACATGCGTAGAAGCCAAAACAAAAACGGCAAGCCATAAAATTGGGATCCTTTTGAAAATACGTGCCCTCGAAGTTACATACCACGCATGTGCATGTGCCACCGAGTATAGCCATGGTAGCAGCGTCCTACAAATTAATGTATAAAGTTGGGCCAGCTCCAGTCCAACTTAATAAGTTTGGACAGTCCTAACTGAAGTCGCCCATCCTAACTTAAGTTGGGACCAGGGGTAAACTATGCCATGTCTGAATTACTTGGCTTCTGCTTGAAATTGCACATGGGTCTACGGGAAGTGGCTGCAGTTGCCTCCTTAGGTGCGTGTAATTTCAAGACGTTGCTGAGTAATTCATACACGGCCTTACACTTCCACAGATACCCCAGGCCTTGCATGATAAAGTGCCCTCACTGAAAAAAATGTTTTTGTTCCTCCAGTCTGTGGGCGATCGTGTAGTGTAGGGCCCAGGGTGTTTAGTTTCGATCAAATTTGAGTCAAGGTTTTTTATCATTAAAAATATGACCTTTTCAAAGTAAAGCAGACTTCTCTCAGTTCTAACAAAACTTTTTTCGAAATTTTGAGCAGTTTCTTAGGGTAGAAATCACGATTTTCCTTCCCGGTCTACGGTTGGTGCTGCGCGATTCAGCACGCCTTGCGTGTCCATGGTATACATCGCGGTGATCACCATCTTTATTCTCATGTTGCATTTTGTCATTGTCATTGTCATATTACCCCCAAATTTCCCTCAAAAGTTCAAAACCTTGGCCTCTATCTGTATAAGGTACATGTTCTTAATGTCGCCAACTGGGTTGGTAAGTCAAATAATTTAAAAGTGGATTTCATTCCCTTATAGGAAACTGCGGGCCCGTAGATGCATGATCGCCAGTCTGTGATATGCATGAGGGTATGAGATTATTTCTCAGTGACGTAAATTGGGACGATTGTCTAGCAGCCAGGTCGGTTGACGAGAAACTGAATGTCTTCAAGGAGGTGATCAGTGAATCAGTGGATAAATTTATTCCTAAGAAAAGCGTGAAAAAGTCACCACAAACCAATGTGGTTGAGTAGGAAAGCTGAGAAGGCCATGCGAAAAAGTATCACTGCTGGAAAAGATGGAGATCATGAGCACTACATTCAGTATAAGAGGCAACTCAACAAAGCAACCAAGGAAATCAGAAAGGCAAAGAGGAAATATGAAAGGAAGCTTGCAGAAAACATCAAGGCGGACTCAAATCATTCTAAAAGTATGTTAAATCTAAAAGTAGGACAAAGGAGAAGGTAGGTCCCATTATTGGCGATAATGGTGAGATAATATCCTTCGATGTTGACACAGCTAATACACTCAACAAGTATTTTGCATCCGTCTTTACAGATGAGGACATGAACAAGACACTAGATCCTACTAGGGTCTTGACTGGATCGAGTGCTGTTGAGGAACTTACTGAAGTTGATATTTCATCTGACTTGGTGTTCAACAAACGTAGCTGGTTGAAATCTGGGAAAGCTCCTGAAGTGAATGGCATCTGCTCAACCATTCTTAAAGAAGTAGCAAGTCATTTATCCTCTCAGCGTAATCTTCAATGAGAGCCTCAAAGTTTTCAAGTGCCATGCGACTGGAAGAATGCCAATGTAGCCCCTTTGTGTTACAAAGGGTTATATAAGTTGTAAATCCAAGTATATACCAGTTAGCCTGACATCACAATTGAGTAAGCTCATGGAGTCTATAGTAAGAGATGTCATCATCGATCATCTTAATGAGTTCAAGTTGATCAACGAGTCTCAAGCATGGGTTCACAAACGGTCAATCATGTCTCACCAATCTGTTGATATTTTTGGAGGAAATAACAGAGTATGTAGATGAAGGTTACCCAGTTGATATTCGTTACCTTGACTTCAGTAAGGCATTTGACAAGGTCCCTCCCATTCGTCTTGTCAAGAAGATCCAAGCCCATGCTATCTCATCTAATGTCCTGAGATGGATTGAAGCGTGGTTGTCTGACCGTCAACAGCATTGATAATCAATGGTTGTAGCTCCGACTGAAATAGAGTGAAAAGTGGGGTACCACAGGGCTCTGTCCTAGGGCCAACACTGTTCATCATCTACATCAAGGACATCGATGAGAAATTTGAGTCACTTGTTAAAGTTTGCAGATGACACAAAAGTTCATTGTAAGGTTTCATCTGCAATGGATGCCAACACCCTACAAGAGGATAATATCATGCATCACTGGTCTTCAGAGTGGCAGATGTTGTGTAATGCTGAGAAATGTAAATGTCTTCATGTCGGGCACAGTAATTTACAGATCAACTACTTCACGGGGGGATTCAATCCAGTCAATTTCACAATAAAAGGACATAGGAGTAATAATTCATCAGTCTCTTAGTGTCAATCAGCAAGCAAGTTGGAGAAGCAGCTTCCAAAGCCAATCAAGTCCTTGGTTTGGTCAAGCGTACCTTCTCATACAAAGATGCCCTGAGGGGAGTCAGGTTGGCGTAGCGGTACTTTCCTCGCCTTCCACCGCTGTGACCCGGGTTCGAATCCCGCCTGGGCCAATATGTGGATTGGGTTTTCAGTCCCTACCTGATTCCGTGGGTTTTCCCCAGAATATTCTCCTGGGCTTTTCCTCCCACGTCTAAAACTGTACCTTCTTCTCATTGTCTTCTCTCCACAGGTTTCTTCAGGCTTGCGAGCTACAGTGCCTAGGGCGCTTTTGAGGAATCCTTGGTTTCATTACCAAAAATGATTAATAATAATAATAATAATAAGTTGTACAATTCACTCACTCCGCCCCATTTGGAGTATTGCATGCAGGCATGGAGACCATTGTAGATGTCTTGGAAAGAGTTCAGCGTCACTTCACAAAGATAATTCCAGAGCACCAACACTTGCCGTACAATCAGAGCCTGGACAGGCTGGGTCTCACAAGCCTTGAGACTTGTTGTGGAGATTCGATCTAGGTCTTCAAAATTGTGAAGAGCATGGAGTGACTAAGGGCATGTGATTTTTCTCATTCAGCAACTCTACAAAATCTACAAGCAGCTCTACATGTATATCGTCTTGACATCTGGAAATTCAGCTTTTCTCAGAGAATCGACGTATGGAACAGTTTGCCTCTTGATGCTGTCAGTGAAAACAGTCAATGATTTCAAGGGCCAGTTGGGTCAAATCCTTTGACACAGAAAGGGAGTATTTATGAGCCAGAAGATAGCTGGCTCCCGATCCCAGCTCCGTTGCCATCCACATCCCGGCGAAGATGCTTAGTGAGGTTGAGGACAAGACAGTAATCATGGTAATGAGTAATGTCATGTAGACGCGATGCGATGCGATGCGAGGGTGCAGCCCAGCCTACACCAACTCAGGACTTGGTCGCTGCACTGTGCACTCCACTCATCCCTGTCCAGTATTAGGGTCCTCAGCTCCTTTGTGTCACTGAGACCAACATCCTGTCGCAGCGTGTCGATGTACGTGCCATGAGTCAGCTCCCACAGGATGGTGTTGTGGGCTGCTAGCTCCGGGTGGATGATGTAATGGCCTGCCAGAGCCATCCTCCTCTCCCTGATCTTGTCTGAGATGTGTGGAAGGCCTCCATAAAGGTCGGTGTTCCTGATGTGGTCTCTCCAGGAGACATTCAGAGCCATGCGCAGCATCCTGGTGTAGACGCCATCAAGCAATTTCTCCTGCTTTACAGTGAGGGTCACTGTGAGACACTTTGAACATAGTAAATGAATTGCCTCAGGCTCAGTGTGTGGAAAGATTTCCATATACCTGGACATCACTTGAAACCTAGTCTTAGCCCAAGATGCTAGTGATCGATAGTGGACGGTGAATAGTGCGTCCTCTATTAATGGCACAACAATTAGACCAGAGGGCCTACTCGCATTAACGTCTTGGCCATTTGGTATCAGCAGTTTAACTTTTTCTCCGTAGGCTTTCCTACGGACCAATCAGCGATTAATGAAATGGTTCGATGGCTCGCCCGATGGTTGTAAACATACATGTCACGTGGTACATGATCGAGCATCAGCGCTTTCCTATAGCATGTATAGGGAACCAATCAGTGCTCGAGGCTTGAAGGTTCAATGGCACGCCCGACGGCTGTAAACATACACATCCCGCGCTACGAGCATCATTATCAGTGCTTTCCTGGAACCAATCGGTGGTTGAGATACAGTGTACTGCAGTGATGAGCATAAATTGGCCCCTCTCCCATTGCTACGAAAATGACCAAGATCGACATTAGTGCGAGAAAGTAAAAAAATGTAATCGCTTTCTCGCCTTTCTGATAACAATAAAAATTATGCATGGCCATGATCATGATGATGGAGCCTGGAGGAAGGAGTACATATGCAGTCATGAAAGTGGTTGACAATGGTTGAGAATTCGCCAAGTTCGGATAGCCGATCCCTCATGTCGTAATTTACCAGACATGATCAGGTGATTGATAGACCTACCTGCTTTTTGGTGGTCCAAAACTTGTAAAAAGTTATATGGGACGTTACCCAATCGCTTTTTCCAAGACTCAAGAAGGCCCCCTGATGCGTACCTTGTGAAAATAGTTACAACGGGCAACTTGCTTTTCAAAACAACTTCTGAAGCCATTTTAAACAGTGTTACTGACTTCCCCTGAAATGAATGGCTAGCACTTAAACAGTCTGATCCGCGATCGCCTCGCCAGGCTAGGCGCTCGCCCAAAAATATGACCGGACGACGATCAGCGCAGCCGGAAGGCGTGCGCTAGGCCGGCAAAGATCGAGACCCGCGATGCGCCAGCGCCATGCCACGCATGCCATGCATTGCCACGCAGGGTGACCGTATGGTTATGGCAAAAGTCTGCTAAATGCACTTCAAAAATCTGTCAGATTTATCAAAAATCTGCCCAATTCCCCAGAATTACTCGAAATACACTATAAACACTTAAAATCACATGCAGATGTTGTAGTATTGCCTTAATTAAGGTTCAAATTACATTATAAACAATCTGTAGTCGCATAAACTGATAAAGATGTTATGAAATTGTGCAAATTTCAGGCAAAACGCGGTTGCGTCACGACGAAAATCCGTTCCCAGTGAACCTCAGCACCTAGACTAGCCAAGCTGTCCCATTATGCTAGGGTTTGTTTGAAAAGATTAAAGCCTTTTTTTTTTTAAATGTACCATTTTTTTGAAATTTGCTATGTTTTTCTGTCAAATAACCATTTTTGCAGAATTCTGCCAGAAATCTGCCAAAAAATTCCCTTCTGTTAAATTTTCTGTCAAACTGGTTTTTTAACAAAGAAATCTGTCAAAGTTAGCCGAAAATCGGCTAAAACGGTCACCATGGCCACGAGGGCGCTGAAAATACGATAGAGGGCGCTGTCGTGGTCCTTCTTCAGAAAATGCATGCATCGAAATTTGACGGACCGGAAAGTTGCGGTCGCCGGCTAGAGCTAGGGGGCTAGGCTCGGTTTGTATACTTTCATACATGTCATAACATTCAGTGCGACAGGTTGTTTGCAAGGGAACAACTTCCGCTCCATGCTTTGTCAAAAATTCGCTGTTGGTGAGTCTGTTGGTGAGTCTGATTTCTCAAAAAATTGTTTCCAATGCCATGCCTTGCATGGCCATCGTCGCATCGATCACTCATTTTGCAAAAAAAAGTTGCAACCTGACGCCACTTCCGCGATTACTGCGCGGTATCCTCGACCCTCAGTATCTGCGCAGGACGCAGGTAACGCTTGCATAACAAAGTCTATGGAGAGTCAAGAACATTTTGCTAAGTATTTCCTAACAAAATTGGAAATATTTATCAGTCCCAGATTCGTGTTTTATCATCATTTTTGCAATGAATTTGAATGACCTTCATTGAGATGTTTTCCATTGAGATGATTTACAATGTAGGGATGTTACGCCCCAACTATCGCATCGGTCCCAACTATAGTTGGGCCTGTCCCAACTGTAGTTCCACAGTTGGGCTGGCCCAACTATAGTTGGGACGGTCCCAACTGTAAGTTCCACTGTTGGGCTGGCCCATCTACCGGTATAGTTGGGCCACTCCGATCTTTTTATTTTGCGGTGTCCCAACTATAGTTTACATTTATGTACAACTATAAAACGTTCCCTACAGCTCTGATACACGTCTGACTTTACTGGGGACCGCTGAAATTAGCTATTGATGGGGCGAATCTATAGTGGCCACCCCAATCTTTTTATTTTGCGGTCCCAACTATAGTGTACATTGTTGTACAGTTATAAAACATTCCCTACAACTCTAATACACATCTGACTTTACTTGGGACCAATAAAATTATCTATGGGTGGGGACCATCTGTAGTTGGGCCACCACAATATTTTTATTTGGCGGTCCCAACTATAGTTTACATTGATGTGTGACTATAAAACATTCCCTACAGGGAAAAATTCTGCCAACCGGACACCACTTTTTTCAATAAATTTTCTAGCGCCAAAAATTACCCCTTTTATGGTTATTCCCTCCACTTTCCCTCCTCTACTCTTACCCCCTCCTTTCCTTAATTTCTATTTATCAATCAGTCGCTCACTTCTTCGAGATTCGAACCTCGAACGCTTGCTTGATACACGAGTCTCTTAACCGCTAGGCCGCGCACGATCGCTGTTGCAATGATCAATCTTTGGACGTATTTGAAGTATTCATTGAAATAAACTAAATATTCATGAGAAAATAAATATTCATAATGACGTATTGCACTATCATTGGCCGGCTCATGCGACGTCTCATGCGACGTCATGGTTATCGATGTCATGCGTACAACGTACCGCTGTTCCAGACACTTCAATCAGTTTTGACTGGCTGCTTCAACTCAGATCTGCACTACATGTGCATGCAAAATGTGCTCCAAAAACACATTTTTACCAATTTTTTTTCGCATGTCCACTCTTTCCTGGATTCCTCTTGGTTGAAATCACAAGGTGAGGTGAAAATTTGGATGTTTAGCGGCAGGTAAGTGGAGTCCGGTTGGCAGAATTTTTCCCCCTACGGCTCTGTTACATGTCCGACTTTACTTGGGACCTTTGACATTAGCTATTGGTGGGGCCCAGACTATAGTTGGCCGGCCATGGCAATCTTTGAATTTTGCAAAATGTTCCTGGACAATAAAACCCAGCAGCTTTACAACTCATCCAACTAGGCAGTACCACGTGACCGGCCAGCCTTGCGGCATGCATGCACGACGAATACACGGTGCCAGCGCCGCAGAACATTTAATCCAACAAGATCTATCAAGCATGAAGCATCTGGCGCAACTCCAGTCCTAACTATAGTTGGGCCGACCCAACTCCCGCACTATAGTTGGGACAGTCCCAACTATAGTTGGGACCGATGCGATAGTTGGGGCGTAACAGGCCTATGAAGAAAAAAGGGGCGTCGGGCGCGGCGCGGCTGCAACATTTGTTTCCCAAAAGAAGGTAGGCCCTAGTCCGAGTAACTAGGACTCTACGAATCCCCTTTTTTAACATTTGGAGATGGTCAGGCGATATAGTATTAGTAGGGTCCTAGGTAGTCCGAGTAACTAGAACTCTACGGATCGCTTTTTTATTTTTAACATCTGGCATGTCTCTGGACATGGTCGGGTGATAGTAGTGCGAGATCGATGGCCCTATTGTGGTTACTAATAATTTTTTTTGACCATTTTCACTCGTACCCCCTATCAAAATCTTCAGATTTCACCCCCAAAACAGTCCTCAAACTGCCTGATGTGTCCCTGCAGGCTTGAGTGGGAATTGAAAATACAAATTGTGGTGGTTAGGTCATGGAAGAATAAGAACATACCTTTGGGGAGAAAAAAGAAATTTCACCTTCAATTCGGGAAACATCCTTGTCACAAACAATCCAGGTGACCAAGCAAAGTACCCTGTGATTGGTCTGTCTGATGCCAGTCAATTTTTCCTTTGACCCTTTGACCTATAGTCAAGAAATTTCTTGGGTACGTTCATGATGAGTTGCTCTATGCATGCACCAAGTTTCAAAATTTTTTGTCACTCGATGGCCGAGATCTTAGGGGGGGGGGGGGGCAGAATCTGCCCCCCCCCCCCCAGGCTGAGAGATGGTCAAAATAGCCCGGCACTTTTAGGGTTAAAGTTTGTCATTGTGTTCAAGTAGCTTCCCGTGTACTATACGTTATACATGTACCAACAAAGATACTATAGCTCGCGGGGAAGATGTGTGATACACGATGACGTCATCAAGTTGCGCTATGGGAAAGGGCGCTGCTTACAGTAGATACATGTAGATAAATGCACCTGCGGCTACGCAGAATCTACACATGAATTATAGAACTGTCCTCGGGTGTAAAAACAATGCAAGTGGGATTTTCATTGATGAAGAAAAAAAGTGCTTATGTGATCCCCCTTCAATTTTTTTGACGGTATATAGGCCTTATGATTCATATTATTTTAAAAACGCTCTACATTACATGTAGGCCTACACTAAAAATAAATAAATAAATTCTTAAAAAAGAAAATAAACTCATTAGTAATTTAGTTAATTAGTTAGCAAATAATTAAAATATACCTACTGATTCCTAAAAATGAAAAAAAAGGTCATGTTGAGAATAAGCCATTATAAACAATAATACATGCACATGATGCCATGTGAATCTTGTATGTTCCTGCAGAGTTGGAGTCGAGTCCTCAAAGCCGAGTTCGAGTTCTCCTAGTACTTTAGGGGCCGAGTCCAGGGCTGAGTCAAAGTACACTGTGACGAGCCTGAGTCCAAAGCACCGAGTCCGAGTACACTCAAGGCTGAGTACTGGGCCAAATCCGAGTACCTAAGTCTGAGTCCGAGTTCGAGTACAATACCAAAAAGTACAAAAATAAATCAATAAATAAAGTAATAAATAAACAAGTGAATAAATACAATAAAATAAAAGTAAAAACAAAATTAAATTGCCAGTAGATTAAATACAACAAACACAACATGCAGTTTAATTTTCTTTGCAAAATGGTTAACACCAACAACTTTTATTAAGGCTGACACCAAAAAATTGGGTGAAAGGAACGACACCGTACTTCAATGGTTCAACCATACAAACAGCATAATATTTGGAGAAAAATCTCTTGCACACAATGCAGACATTTCTGACCACAGCAGTCACAAAAGTTACCATACATGTATAACACATCTGGAATGATGTACACATGACAAGCATGTGAAAAGACAAGGCGTTCCTATCATGCAAAATATTATTGGTGTAAAATTCCCACGATCTCCCTTGGTAACGGACAATACATGCACTTTTGTAGCACTGAGGATTCGTGAATTGGGAGCCAGCCAAGTCCTTGCTTCTTATGTTCACTCGGCGCTGCACAGTTTACCAGAGAGACAGTTTCGTGATTTTTCCCAAGCAAAATCCTAAAATGGTCTCACTGGTAACTGTGTAGCACCGAGTGAACATAAGAAGTGTTCATGAAGCGTTGGTACAATGATTTTGTTTGGGAAAAATCCCGAAAATAATGGTCTCACTGGTAACCCGTGAAGCATGCAGCGAGCGGACATAAGCAAACGCTTGGCTGGCTCCGATTCACGTGCTCATGAAGTGCTGGGACAAGGATTTTGCTTGGGAAAAATCTCGAAATGTCTCACTGATAACAACTTAGGTTCCTAGTTGCAATGGAATCGATAAAAAAGAAATTTTGTACGCCAGAAGTAGTGGGGTCGAGCACCGTGTCGGAACCAACGAGTCCGTGCCAAAATTTGAGTACAAAGAATTGAGTGCGAGTCCAAATAATTTTCGAGTACTGATCATGCTGATAGTCGAGTACGGGCTGAGTACTTGAGTGTACTCGAGTTGTACGAGTACGAGTACTCCAACACTGTGTTCCTGTATAGTATAAAGCTCATTAGCATAATACTGTAAACTGTTGAAAAAAGTTTTTAAGCACTTTAGTTTTAGGCATTTCCATGTGATGCACATGGAAATGAAGTGGTGGTGGTGCTAGTAATCACAGAAATAAACTGCTTTAAAATGTTACATATCTGCATGATTTTACCAATGAAAAAAAATAGTTTAGAAAAAAACAGGTTAGACGGTGGTGGCAGCAAGCACACTGGCCCTTTTCAGATGTTTTAAGCTGAAGTGCGCATGCTCAATATGATGCAAACAATGGAAAAAGGACCGGTGTGTTTGCTGCCACCAACCTCTCAAAAGTCTCCCATTAGAAGGCACCCACGTGCCTTGCACTGTTATTTTTTGGGTCATCATAATTCAATGGGAAGGGTTCAGCAGCTTTGAAAGATGAATTACTTGCATAATCTAGATTTTTCACTTTTTTTTAAACGAAAGTCTCTCCAAAAAGCTTCCCTGGTTGATCCATAACTCTTGAAAATTTGGTAACAAATTCAATGGTTTTTTTGACCTCAGACCGACAGTTTTTTGGAAATCAGAGAGTTTTTGACTTGAGCAGTGGATAATTTACCGGTGTGGGCTTTCTTTTAGTAAACGACATTAAGCCAGGGTGGCACTGAACAAACAGAACATAGGCCTATGCAGTGACTTTTTTGGGACTCAGACATTTTTACCATGACGAATCCTAGTATTGCTCCGGGCAAACACTGTTGTGACTTTGTATTCACGAGATGGGAATCAGACAGTTTTACAATTTCAGACTTTATTTCCCTTTAGAAAAAAAATTCCTCCCGACCCATGGATCAGAAAAAGAAAATGTAAAACTCTGAAATTAAATGTCCTTGGGGTGAAATTTGTCTCTTAATTCGGCAGTTCTGTATTAACTGTAACCTCACCTAAAGCTACAAAATACTAATGACTAGTAACTGTAGTATGCATTTTTCCATACAAGTGTTCCCAGTACATAGTATTCTGTGGTAGTGTATTTGGTACTTGACCCCCAAAAAACCCTTAGGAGGTTAATCAATCACGATCCATTCCCCACTGAAGCCAAAAACTTGTGGCAAACTTCTGACAAAAGAACACCTTGAATTAATCTTGTATTTTTGTTACTTTTTGTCACACCATTCATTTATAGGTCCACCCATGCCAGGTTACGGATGTATGTAGATAGGAACCATGGCAGGTTGCTGCAGTTGCTGTAAACCAGGGCAGCATCAGTCTTACATTGCTACAGCTGAAGGACCTGATCACACTGATCCAAGGTATTCTTTATGGTCTTTATTGGCTTCCGTTTTAAATTTGTCTACGTTGACGTTGTGGGCACTGCTGTACAAGATGTGATATGATTTGGAAAGAATGTTGCAACCTGGCGCCACTTTTTTCTCATACATCAGTATAAAAGGTCAGTCATTCCAAAAATGTTGAAAAGGCATGAGTCTGCGACTGAGAAACATTTCCAACTTTGTTAGGAAATACTTCGAATATTTTCTTGACTCAGTCTCCATAGACTTTGTACACAACTGCTGAAGTGGCGTCTGGATATTACACTCTTTCCCTATGATTTGCACATGTATGTACATATACATGTAGGCCTACATGTACATTGTCTATAATTATTACAAACTATGTGTCTTGCACAGAAACAATACAAGATACATATGAAGATCAATCATTTTCAAATGGCAGAATGAAGATCAATAACTGTGTTATTGCTGGCTGAAAACCAACAGAGAATCATGAAATACATGAAGAAAATTTTAGGTAGGCCTATACATGTACATGTACATGTACTTGAACATGAAAATCCCTGATAGTTTGTTCATACCGTTATATGTGAGAGTTAGTGTGTGAAGTTTGGCGAATAAAGGTGCATTATGATCTCGGGTTGTAAGAGGGTGCAAAGTCTAATGGCTCGCTTTTGCATGACAATAAGCGAGTGTTAATGTAGATCAAGAAACCACTCGAGCATGTCCTCTATGTAGTTTGGAAAGAAGTATGCTATGATCTATTGTGTCAAATACCGTACCTTGGAGAGGTTGATGAAAGTACCTGCAGTCAATAGTTTGTTGGACAAAGCAGGGTTATAGCAAGGTCATGTTTACCGGTATTGTTGGGTAAAAATTTCTTGAAAATGGCACTTGCATAGTGCATACATGCTGAAATGGAGACACATTTTGTTCTCTCCGGATGCTGGGCCTGAGGGGGGGGGGGGGGGGAGGCGGTACCATCTGTCGGTGGAGGCACTGTACAAAACCGACGATTATGCACACTAACAAACAATATATGGTGCTTTTTAGTGCGATACATGCACGAAATACAAAACAAGGCTCCAGTAACGGCCGATGGCAAAAAAGGGCACTTGTTCTGAAAAGAGGCCACTTGTTAACAAAAGAATGGCGCTCTTTACAAATATTGGGGGGGGGGGGGTACATGCTAGCGCTGATGTAAAAGGGCATTTGAATGGAAAAGGGCATCTGTACAAAATACTGGGGGTGTAAGTACCCCTCTCCCCCCCCCCAAACTGGCTACACCTTTGCAAAGAATTGGAAATAAGATCAGTAAGAAGAATCAGAGCCATGTCCGTGGAATATTGTGGACGGAAGCCAACTGGCCAAGGATATCACTTTCATCATCTGTTACTATCGTGCCAATGAGGGTGGAGCAATGAGGGGTTATAAATACAAGTAGGTCGATCAATCAAGGAACGAAGACCATGAGAGTATTTACATAAAGTGTATTTACAAAGTCGTCTGTGGGCAGATGTTCTTAACATTTCGGGAGATTCAGATTGAAATCAACCATTACGTAACAGTTTCTACTCTGAAGATAGGGAATTAAGACAATCTGAGTCAAAAGACCGCTGAAAGTTATCGAGATGTTCCAGGAGCCCTGTACAAATTTCCAACAATCAGATTACGGGAACAGTTGCGTTCAATTTATATGAACTAATAGTCATCAGAAGATGTCATATGATCATCTCGAATACAACATCTTGGAGAACTACATGTCTCCTCCCTCCCCCTCCAATTTTATTTGAGCGAGACAAATGCACTTTAGTCTGTAATCAGGCATTGTAATATATGGAGGAGGAGATTCTTTAAACCCTGTACATTTATAAATTCTGTGGACAGGTAATTTTGAATTTTCTGTGGCAATCTTGTTTTTAAGCCTCTTGCTCTCTGATGAACAGTCACAGACAGTCCAAAAATCAGTCCTCTTCCCCTGTCGTGCCTTTTACACAGGTCAGATCACGTTTCAAGCAAGCACTGTGACTAGTCAAATTCAGTCAACGGACCAAAGCAGACAAGTGGTAGGCACAGCTGGCTTATCAGTCACCTACAGTCAAAGCATAGCTGTATCAAGTTACATAAACAGTCACAGCCAGTCCATCCTGCTTTATGTGCCATAGGTTGGGAGCTCTTAACTATTTCAACTTGTCATTTGATTGGTTTTGACTGAAAGGACAACTTTGCGCAGGATGATGTTTGCATAGGAGAGTTTGCTTCACATAACAATTGTTATTCACCCGTTATTAAATTTACCTTTTTCCTCATACTTAATCTGTAGCCAGGTTCAAGTGAACTTTGACACGAACAATGATGCAGTCACAAGTCAGGTCCAAAAGAAGAGTCACGGTGGATTTAGAGCTCAGCTGACACGACTTGGCACAAAGAATCCAGAGAGGTTAGTAGTTACATGTATACGTACAGTGAATATACATGTAGACTAACACAGCGTAACACAGGGGCGTAGCACGGTCCTTTTTATTGGGGGGTAACATTTTTTTAAAAGGGCACTTGCACATCCGTTGTGAAATGCAGACAAGTTTTTTTCTCCGGACACTTGGCCTCCGTAAAATCAAAAAGGGGTGGGGGCTGGTCAAAACCGACAATTATGCACACAAAGGACCAATATATGATGCTTTTCAGGGCGATACATTCTGAAAAAGGCACCCAAAACGGCAGATGCCACAAAAAAGGGCACCACTTCTTTTTTTGTTCATAAACAAAGGGCACTTCGTAAAAAGGGCACTCTTTACAAATTATTGGGGGGGGGGGGGTTAAGCCCATTGAAAAAGGGCATTTGAATGGAAAAAAAAAGGCAGTCTTTACAAAATATTGGGGGAGGGGGGTAAATACCCCCCGCCCAACCCTAACCTAACCCTTACCCTAACGCTAAGGATTTTGGGGAACATAGGTATTGGGGAACATCGGGTAGACCCCATTATTTGGTTACTCTAGTAAAAATCATTGTACCGTATCTCTTTTTTTCATTTTCCAATTACTGAATAAGATTAAAGAGAAAGCACTTGTGAAATTGAGACTTCTTTTTCAGAAGGCACACATAAAGTACATGCACTGAAAATTCTCAAGCAAAATAAAACCATTCCATTCCATTCTCAAGCCAAAAAAAAAAACCATTCGAATAGACAGGTAGCTGACAAGCATTTTAAAGATGCAGTATTCTTAGCCGGCCGTCGACAGTCTGTTGGTTTGTAACATGAAATTCTACTTGAAATTGTTTGGAAATGACTTTTTTGGAGGTGGGGTGGGGTGCACAATTATGCTTGTGCTCGCTTCAGGAAAAGAAAAATATGATGAAGTCTTGACGGCTGGCCTATGGTTTTTGCACAACTTGGCCTGCTAAAGAAGGCCCTTCCCTTATTCACCTTACAGAAATTGTGATCCGTGACCACATTGAACCAGATCCCTATCAGTTTGTGTATGTACACTGGCCTAACTTCTGTTGTTGATGACTCATTTCCTGCGTCCTGTTAATGTATTATGTAAATGTCAAGGTTAAGTTGACGCAGTGTTTACTTTTCTTTGCAAACTGCTGCTGATGAAGGATTGAAATACAAAACAGACATCAAAGAGGTATTAATTACTTAGTCGGAGTGTGTGTGTGTGAATTGTTATTTCTGATATTTGGTCGGGCTGTGCAGAATGTACAGAATATTGGATATTCGATCATCGACCGAATTCCAAATAGTGTTTTTTGTTTTCAATTCAAACTTTCAAAAATGCGAGCGGTCTCCAGGACATGATGAAAAAAGGACACATTGTGTGGTTTTATTGTTTGTCAGATGCCACACTTGTTGAAAGCCACTTGTATTATCGCACATGATTTGAGCGCATCCACGAGGAATATCAGATGAAATTCTTTTTGAAATTGGTCAAAGATCAGCCACTGCTACCTGTTCTCCACATTATTTTAACCCTCTGAGCAGCGCGACGGTAGTTTAATAGTCCAGATTTTCCAAATATGGTCATAATTTTTTTTTTTTCAATGGGCCAATAAGGCCAATTAAGCTTCCATGTAATCCTCACCCCTACTATACACCACAAGCCTGTAGACTCCCATTGGCCAGACCCTAGCCACTCCGGAGTATGGAGTGTTGAAAGACAGAAGCCAAGATGGCACCCAATGCCTTTGTGCAGTATTGGAGATCTTGGTGGCCAACACCTAAGAGCCGCCGATCCCTTTGTGTGAACCCATCGTGCCGTCCAGAGCCAAGACAGGTTGTAAACAATCCCTGGCCATGTGAATGACCTATATCTTGTGCATGTACAGGCATGCCAGGGTTATTGACCTATAAACACATGTGGTGATAAAATTCTCCACGTGGTTTCACGGTGTGATTTTTTTTATAAGCTGCTCCGAGGGTTAATAAGCTCTTTGTCAATTTTTAACAAGCGCTTGTGCATGCAAATCCCTTGGGTATACAGTACGTCCACAGTTGCCCTCTTCGTTTCAAACTTGCTGCCAAATCCGAAACGAATCTAGTTTGCGTAAAATTTCTAAACTGAATCTAAACATCACAGTTTAATACTTGCAGCACTAGATAGTGTACATTGTGTGGAACCTGTATGTGCATGAGGCCTGTAGTTGTTGCTGGTGTTGTGTTGTTGCTTCCTTGACGCGTAGCTTAACAAGTTAGAATGTGGTTACGCATGTTGGCATACTGCTTCATGTTTTAATGAAGTAAACTTTTCAGTTAGTGACATTAAACTTAATACTTAAACAATTACTACCGGTATGTGAACATGTACCCGATGTAGAGTACTGCATGTTCCTACATGTACATGTATGCTTTTCAAGTTAACCTCAAACATTTTGGTAGTGTACTGTACATGTTCTAGTACTACTGAAGCTAGTATTGTGCATGCAGATACATGTACATGTATATGTACAACAAGCACGTTTATTTATGGTGTAAATCGAGGATTTTCTTTTGTTTCTCTTCCTTTTTCCTTTGTTTGTACTCAACTTTTTCGTAACAGCTCTTATTGTTTTTGTACATGTGTTCTAATCATGGGCGTCCTCGATTTGGTTCCCGTCCCCGATTCATCGATGATGTTGCACGTGTGTGTCCTCGATTTACACCATTGACAAACGCAGACAGGTGATCATGTGTGTTTTGTATTTATAACCAGTCTTATTTTGGTTTCTTTGGCACAGCATTGAGCTTGGTGGTATTGGCTACATGCGGCAGTCTTCTCGCTATGACTTGGGATTCACCAAGGACTATCTGAGCGGCAGCATCAAGTTCTCACACTCACATAAAGCTCACCTCAAATACACAAAGAGCAAGGTACGCTCCCACATTAAGCAGAGTTACAGTAACAAAGGAACAAATGTTACACTGAACAAATGTTCACCCTATTCCTTAATTTAAGAACATCGGTCTTTGTGTATACTCGTATGCTCAAAATGAAAGTATATTTTTATGCCCCGCGGCGAAGCCGAAGGGGCACACTGTTTCCGCCTTGTATTTCCGTGGGTGGGTGTGTTCCTGCATGGCATTACGCCTGAGGACAGACAACAAAAGGAGCACAAAGGGGCCATTGATCCTCGAAGGAAGGTGCCTATTGTCCTCGAACGCAGGTTTGTGTGCTTAGTCTATGGGAGAGTGTTATATTACAGGGACAAAGGAAAACACAAAGCCAATCCTCGGAAGCAAAGCAAAAAACGAGTGTGTTCCTGCATGGCATTACGCCTGAGGACAGACAACAAAAGGAGCACAAAGGGGCCATTGATCCTCGAAGGAAGGTGCCTATTGTCCTCGAACGCAGGTTTGTGTGCTTAGTCTATGGGAGAGTGTTATATTACAGGGACAAAGGAAAACACAAAGCCAATCCTCGGAAGCATAGCAAAAAACGACTGTGGGTGTTCCTGCATGGCATTACGCCTGAGGACAGACAACAAAAGGAGCACAAAGGGGCCATTGATCCTCGAAGGAAGGTGCCTATTGTCCTCGAACGCAGGTTTGTGTGCTTAGTCTATGGGAGAGTGTTATATTACAGGGACAAAGGAAAACACAAAGCCAATCCTCGGAAGCATAGCAAAAAACGACTATGTGGGTGTGTGTGTGTGTGCTCTTGTATTGTATTACGCTCGAGGACAGACAACAAAAGGAGCACAAAGGATCCTTTGACCCTCGGACGACGGTGCCTATTGTTAAAACCGGTCCTCGATCGTACGGTTATGTGCTTAGTCTATGGGAAAGTGTTATATTAGAGGGACAAAGGAAAACACAATAGTTGTCCTCAGGCGTATAGTAAAAAAAAAACTGTGTGTGTGTGTGTGTCCGGACAAATCTTGTCAGCGCGATAACTTGAGAAATACTAAACATATGAACTTCAAATTTGGTTTGTGGATTGTCCTTGGTAATCCTAAGAAGCCTTTTGCATTTGGGGCTGAAAGGTCAAGGGTCAAGGTCACAGTGGCTGAAACAATAGAAATTTTGTCAGCGCGATAACTTGAGAAATACTTTACATATGAACTTCAAATTTGGTTTGTGGATTGTCCTTGGCAATCCTAAGAAGCCTTTTGCTTTTGGGGCCAAAAGGTCAAGGGTCAAGGTCACAGTGACTAAAACAAAAGAAATTTTGTCAGCGCGATAACTTGAGATATACTTTACATATGAACTTCAAATTTGGTTTGTGGATTGTCCTTGGCAATCCTAAGAAGCCTTTTGCTTTTGGGGCCAAAAGGTCAAGGGTCAAGGTCACAGTGACTAAAACAAAAGAAATTTTGTCAGCGCGATAACTTGAGATATACTTTACATATGAATTTCAAATTTGGTTTGTGGATTGTCCTTGGCAATCCTAAGAAGCCTATTGCATTTGGGGCCAAAAGGTCAAGGGTCAAGGTCACAGTGGCTAAAACAAAAGAAATATTGAGAAATACTAAACATATGAACTTCAAATTTGGTTTGTGGATCGTTCTTGGTAATCCAAATAGGCCTATCGCATTGGGGGTCGAAAGGTCAAGGGTCATAGTCACAGTGGCTAAAACAATAGAAATCTTGTATTTATTCTGAGATCATAGGGATTAGGGATTAATTCATATAAAACCTACAGAAGACACTAATGCTGTCAATGAACGTTTCATGTGACCAAGGTACATGTACATTGTAAGTTGATGTTAAAAGAGTGGTGTTATGTCATGGAAACAGTCACGGTTGCGGGGCATTCGTGTTTGTAAACACACCTGACTTGTTTATGACTACAATGTAAATTGATTTCAATAATTCATTGTCTATATCATGGATGTACTTTATACCGTAGTATACAAAAGTTGTATGTGTATATGGTGTGCTTGTAATTCCCCCCAAAAATGTATTTGTGTATACATGCAATCAGCCTGTTTTCAAAGTGGTATGTGCATGCATACATTTGTATAAATCTCACATAAACTTCACGATGTAAAACCTTTTTTCCCCATTATAGTACATGGCCATTCAGCCGGATGAAGTCCCAGATGTCGTCGTAGAAGCTCTAGCCAAGAAGTGGAATCTTGAGTTCCCTAAGCTGCTGATCAGCATCCTAGGCGGTGGGGAGGAGGTGGTCCATGTCAACCAGGCCATGAAGAAGGCCTTCTGCAAGGGACTTGTGGAGGCTGTGCTAAGCACTGGTAATGTTTTGTCCTTGGTAATTGTGGGGACAGAACTACGGTAGTCGGGGTCATTATTGTAGGTGGTTGTGAGGAATCGTCTTGGACCAGTACTGGTTTTGGATTTTCTTCCACTATTTAGGCCTACCCTTTCCTTACCATGGGCGACTTTTGTTGACAAGAAAAACCCCCCTGCTGGTTCCCATGGGCGACTTTAGTCGACCAGGAAACCATACACAGAACACCCTCAACACAGATATATTTACTACTTTTCAGAAAGGCGGTATGTTGATATGTTTGGCTGCCCATACATCAACCATATACCAGCTGAAAGAGTGTTTTCGGATGGTTCTAAATGTAGAAGTTTATTCATAGTGTTACCATTACAAAAAAATCAGAAAAGTGCTTCAGAAGTATCCACGCACAAATTGAGGTATGGAGTGCCATTTGGTCATGTGGTGAAATGGCTTGCAGTTTGATAAATGGGACCAGATGACCAAAGAGGCATAACTTTCTAGTAACATTTGCAATATGGACTTCGTTTTTACATCTCATAAAAGAGTAAGGTTCAAGGAACAAACTTTACACAACACCTATGATTTAAATCACTCCTTGGCAGTGAAAATCTGGGTTGAAAAAAAGTGAGTTTTCGACTTGTGGTCATTTTTTCACACTCTAGTGATTTCCGCATGACAGAGCAAACAATTTGGTCCTGGGGAGAGCCAAGTCAATAAACAATGTGGTAATGAAAGGGTTAACCTGTCCCTGAACTGTGCGGTATAGCCACTCAAGTGGTAGATGGATCAAATCCAGTCCTGGGAACTTTGGCGCATCTACCCAGACAATTCTGAGCATACCTCAAGCTGTGGGGGGCTGTGGTCCAATGGTTACGGTGTTCGACTCATGTGCCGTGGTACATGGGTTTGAATCCTGACGGGGAACTTGGTCCTTGTGCTCTTGAGCAAGGCACTTTACCATTATTGCTTTGTCCTTCGGATTTGACGTAAAGCCGTAGGTCCCGTGTGTTGTGTAATGTACGTTAAAAAACCCAGTAACACTTATTGCTAAGAGCAGGGGTTTGCCCTGGTGTTTCTGGCAGTGGCTGCAGTATGCGCCGCAGCACCTTGTAAACCCTTAGGTGCTTCATAAGTGGTCTCATAGTTTTCATAAACTTTATTTACCTTTCTTTAATAATTGACATAATTTCCAGCGCCTTTAGTATCTAATTGTTGGTATATACGTGCGCTATACAGTAAACTCCGGCTAAACCGACATCGTACAACTCGTCAAATCGCTCAAGTCGGCCGTCTGACTAAAGTCCTGATTGTCCGTAATGCATTTCCATTGAATTTTTTATTTTTAAGTTGGCTTTTATAAGTCGCCATTTCGCTCAAGTCGTCGTGTTACTCTCGGTCCCCTTTCCATAAAAAGCATTACAAAATCCTTTGTGTAAGTCGGCATTCAACAAATCAGGCATTGGCATCGACTTCCTGTAGTGCGGTTGGCAAAGTGTCGAGTGAAAAGTGGTTTCGCACGGCCCGTGATCGCTGCATACATCGGTGTCGACAAATGGTGTCCTACTGCATACATCGCATGCATTGTCAGCATAACAATACCAGTACCCCCTCTAGGCTGTACGCATGCGCTCTGTCCATTTTGGGGGTCGTCTTATTGAATGACTATGCTGCAGTCAATGCGTGCGTGGTATATAATACCGGACCACGCACGCATTTAATTCGTTACTGTGCACGTACATATGTATCGTGGTCTCCACTATCAATGCCCCAAACGTGATGATACAATTTGAGGATTAATTTGCTGGATTCAACTTAACCATTAAGGAGATAATCCAGGGTAAATCAAAGCCAATTAGTGCAATGAATCATGTGTGCAAAAGACCATTCATATAAGTCGGAAAAATGACGACTTATATAAATATCGGCAGATATCGGCATTAGCGTAAGTCGTCACAAATTCGCGGGTCCCGAGAGTGCCGGTTTAGCCGGAGTTTACTGTATAAGACTCCTGTATTATTATCATACACATGTAGATGTTTGAAATGTTATTCTGTATTTGAGCTGCATAGTTTTGAAGTGTAGGTCAGACTCTTTCTTGTACATGTACATGTGCTGTAGAGGCCCGGGTCACACTGCGATATCGCTCCATCATTTAAATCCTTGACCATTGTTTGAATAGATGTGTGGCTGTTCACCGGTGGTCTCAACTGTGGCATGATGAAAACGGTCGGCCAGGCGTTGACCAACTATGCTATTGGCCGAGCAATGGTCAAACACCGCGACGTGGTGGCGGTGGGCGTGGCACCATTATGCATCCTCAGCCAGAAGGACAAGTTGCTGGGTTCAGAGGTAAGCACTCCTTTCCTGCCATTTATACAGATTCGGCCCATATGTGTGTAGAACTTTAAGTTAAGTATTTAAACCACTGATCTCTACATAAAGACTGGATAGCGTACAGAAAGCCGCAGAAGAACGCCATTTGAAGTCACATTAGAGAGACCGGCTGGTGATCTATAAAGGACAAGTTGCCGTCTTTGTAACATCGTGGTTCGCCTGGTTTACGTTTTGTCCACCGCCACTGACCACGGTTCACAATTCGTCAAATGTCGTGGTTTACTTTGGAATGCTGCAGTTCACATTTTGGGACGTTTGGAAATATAATCACAATAGAAACTTGTCCTTTTTAGAACATCATGATCTGTGTACGTGATCAAAATACGCGTCAACTCATGATACAATGCGCGCTGTATGGACGCGTAGATTGTTTGTATATACGCGGCCATTTTTAAAAGACCGTGGGCGAACTGGTCAAAATATATATTCAAGCCTGTGACTCGTGTATTGGTATCCGCTATCCGGTTTTCATATAGAGATCAGTGATTTAAACTCAGGTACTATATCACTTTTAGTTTGTAAGCACTCGGGCAACGTACATTTGAAGTTGAAATGGTCAGCTTTAAACTTTATTGAATACAGTTGTACTGCGATTTGAAGTATGTGCACTTGGGACTAATGTACCAGCCAACCGATCCTGTTAGCTCGGTGGTCGAGTGGTAAGACATCTGCACTAGAAAGCAGGAGGTCGTGGGTTCGAGGGGGTAACACACTGAGTATACAGTGTTTAAACGTCGGTGAAGGGCAAAAACCTAATTTGATTTACTTCTATTTCAATATGGAAATTGCTGGAAATTTACTTGTACTTTTCTAACCACTCCTTCATGAAATGCACATGTATGAACCTAAATCTAGTGTGTTAGACACACTAGACACACGCCTGTATGTAATTTTTAAAAGTCCTCAAAGATTTCTGGTTGCTGTAATCATTGGTTGATATGTTTGTAGGACTTTTAAGAGTTTGGCTGCCGCTGTATTGTCTATTTGGCCTAGCATGGCAAAAAAAGTCATAATGGCATGATACACTATGTGATGCGCTCTAAGGAATCTCAGCCAATCAAGGGACATAATCTCTGGGTGTTGTGTTATTATTGGCTATAGGCCTTTTTGAAGTCCTAACTTCATCTTCGGCTTCAGGATAATCTAGGCCCCCGACTTCGGTGACTCCAGTTTTTAAAGTTGTGGGCATGTTCTGCTTATATGGGAACATTCAGTGGTACATGTATGATATAAATAAGGCAACAGGATAGAATATCTCCATAGCCAAAGAAAAAGCAAAGGTTTCAAAACCGCCTATATAAGTACACTGATGGAAAGACTGAAGTTACAGAACTGTCATAGTCATGGGTTCTTTTGCTCTGTGTAGAGAAGACCAGTCAAGTACAACATGGACCAGGACAGTGACGACAGTGCCGATGAAGATGACAATGCCACTGATCATGACAGTCGAGATGACGCCAGTTCCCCCAGCTATCATCTGGATCCCAACCACACCCATTTCATCCTGGTGGGGGACGTGCATTCCAAGCCGGGCGACGAGCTCACGATGAGGAACGCACTGGTCCACAACATCGCCAGGTGCAAGATCAAAGGGAGTAACGGTAAGGGAACCAGTCTGAACTGGGCCAATGTTGGGGGATGGAGGGATTTAGTCCACATCTGCTGCCCATATAATTGTGCCTTTTGTCAAAGCTTCTCAAAGCCAAATGTATCATAAGTTTTGTAGTGGGAGCTTTTCATGGAAAGTATGTAGTATCCAGACGCCACTTCTTTGGTTGTGTACAAAGTCAACAGAGAGTCAAGTGCATTTTCAAAGTATTCTCTGACAAAATTGGAAATGTTTCTCAGTCCCAGATTCATGTCTTTTCAACATTTTTGCAATGACTGATCTTCACTGAGACATGAGCATGATGAAAACAGTGGAGTCAGGATGCAACATTCTTTCCCTTTTCACAACACAGCATGCCACAAAGCCTTTACCTTGCAGAGGGCACTTTTCAAATGTTAAGTCGACATCCTTTTATATGCTACTTTTCAGTAGGTGATACCATTCAAACACATTTCTGCATTTAGAAGCCTGGCACTCAGTAAATAAACTCTGTTATTCACAAACAAATCCAATTTGAGCCCTGCCCCCATGTACACAATTGCCAAGCCTTATTCAAACGGAATACCATTGGCTGTTGACCTGTTGACGTCTGGGGCGTGACAACCAACATTTTATTCTGTCAATGAACTCACATCCAGAAAGCTGCATAAATTACTTAAAAGTCCCATGACTATAATTATTTCTCTGGTAATAAAATTTCTTTCAGAACCGTTTCTGGTATTTTTATGCCCCGCGGTGAAGCCGAAGGGGCATACTGTTTCCGCCTTGTCCTTCCGTGGGTGGGTGGGTGGGTGGGTGTGTGTGTCCGGACAAATCTTGTCAGCGCGATAACTTGAGAAATACTTAACATATGAACTTCAAATTTGGTTTGTGGATTGTTCTTGGTAATCCTAAGAAGCCTGGGCTGAAATATCAAGGGTCAAGGTCACAGTGGCTAAAACAATAGAAATCTTGTATTTATTCTGAGATCATAGGGATTAATTCATATAAAACCTACAGAAAACACTAATGCTGTCAATGAACGTTCCATGTGAATCAAGTACATGTACATGTAAGTTGATGTTAAAAGAGTGGTGTTAGGTTCATGGGAACAGTCACGTTTGTGGGGCATTTGTGTTTGTAGACACACCTGACTTGTTCTAACTTTAATCATAACAGCAACCGTGCCTGTGCTGCATGTGGTCTTTGGTGGTGATTACTCAGTCTTCCAGACCATTCATGATGCAGTCACCAAGCATCAGATCCCGGTCCTGGTCATTCCTGACACCGGTGGGGCAGCTGATGTGCTGACGTTTGCTATAAACAAGAGGGCCGAGGCTGGGTTTGTTAATATTTGTGTCTTTAAATTTGGAAAACTTTACCCCTTTGTTGCAGATTTTATAAAGGTGATGTACATATATACACCATCTGCATTTGTCGTCATTATATGAAATGGACCGATTTAACGGCTGGTATTAACCCTTACCCTACTTGACCCTCCAACGCATGCCAATATGTGCCTCAAGAAAATCTCCTATGTTTTTTGCATGGCCCTCCAATATCTGCCATGTCATTTCAAGGGTAACTGGACAGGCACTCCAATACATGCCACAGAGAACAATGAGAGTCCTCTGATAACAAAGTGAGTGCCCCCAGCTGGTCAGTATCAGGCACCCTCCAGGGCCTCCAACTCCTGCCAATTGGAGCCTTCACTGTCAAGATAGTTTATCTGCCAATATACTGCAGCTGGAGGGCATTGGCATAACCAACTGACATGCAGTAAACTACCCTCAGAGAGTAAGGGTTAATTGTTAAATAGTATTAATTATTGTTATTATTATTTATTTCTGGTAATGAAGGATTCCTCAAATGTGCCCTAGGCACTGTAGCTTGCAAGCCTGAAGAAACCTCTCTACAGAGAGAAGACAATGAGAAGAAATCACAGTTTTAGAGGTGGGAGGAAAACTCCAGAAGAATATGTGGAGAAAAAATATCTGGGGAAATCCCACGGACTGAAAACCCAATCCACATGAATCTCGGGTGAGATTCGAACCCGGGTCACGGTGGTGGAAGGCGAGGAAAGTACCGCTACGCAAACCGGACTCCACAGGTTAACTCAAAGTGTATAGCTGGCTCATGCCCTTAATTGATGTACCGGTGGTATTTAAAGAAATAAATATGAATACACAGTGATGGCTTGAACCATCCGTAGTACTGATACAAAATTCCTCTTTTCTTGAACATGACAGCATACCAGATGCAACAATTTCACAGGATGCTTGATACTAATATTTGTCTTCAGTCAAGTACATGTAGGCAAATGGAGGCAAATGTTGGAATGTAGGCAAATGGTGTAGGACTACATATTTAAACATTACCTTTACATGTATGCTGTTTCTGCATTGGACTAATTTGGGTAAAACTAATTTGGGTAAAACATGTAGTTGTCAACACAAAAATGGCTTGCTGCCATGTATTTTTCTTCTCTCTATTTTTAAAATGGCCATAATAAACACTGCAAAAAGAAGAAGAATGTCCACACTCATTGGAGGGTCACAATTTTTAACCTGATTGTCTTATGATAACGTCATTTATATAAATTTTGTTAGTTGCATTTTGCCACCCCGTTTGCTACCAAAGACTGTAAATCGTCCAAGACTGACAGCGGCTTATGAAAATGATGCAGCTTGAAAAGTTGCAAATTGAAAGAGTACACGAGTCGAGTGGAAATGGCTGCATGACAATGTGACACTGCCCGAAACGAACAGCAGGAAATATCAAAGCCTCAAAGGCACCGTGCTTGTATGCAGGTGAAATTGAAAAAAACCCGCTTTGTTTGAACACTGTTCAGTCGATAAGGGCCAATGAATTACGGGCATGTGTGTTTGCGCTTAGCAATTTCTCCTGCAACTTTTCAAAGTGCATCCTTTTTTCATAAACCGTTGTCAATCTTGGACGATTTGCGGTCTTTGGTAGCAAATGAGGTATCAAAATGTAGCTACCAAAAGTCCCCAAATGTTTATATAAAAGATGTTATCATGAGTGTGGACTTACTTTTTTTGTGGTGTTTATTACAAAAATATTGTTACAATATTAACATCCTCATCACAGCTTAAGTTGTGTGTGCAAGAATTTTCCTTCATGTACATGTACATGAAGCAGGCAAACTGTTCTTCAGAACTTATTTTGATTTGATCGATTTAGCACTCAAATGAAGGCTTTGTAAAACCAGGGTGGAAACACATCATGAAATGTTTTTGTTTTGTTCACCAAGTAGGTATTCTTCCATCGATAAGTTGGTCCCTTTTTGTTGTTTTGTTCTCTCTTCAGAGAAGAAAACATTGCCTTCGATGTCAAAATTACCCACGAGATAAGGATGAAGCTTGGTTTGGATCCTAAATGCTTTGTGAAGACCAAGGACCTCATTAAAGGGATCATCAAAAGGCGTCATCTCATCAACGTCTATAATCAAGATGTCAGAATTGACGAAGCCATATTGCGAGCTCTCATGAATGGTATGCACTGCCAAACAAAACTTTGGTTCGCTTTGTACTTTACAGGACTGCAAATGGAAGTTGACTTTGATGCCATTAAAAAAATTGCAATAACCAGAGTTGAAATGTGTTCAATTCTTGTGAATTCACAGCGTAAAAAGTTGACTTGATGATACAAAATTGCAACTTTGTAATTGTGCTGTGTATGAACTGTCCCATACACACATACTGGAATTTGTATCCTTGAGGAGACATTTCTTTGTTCTCGTGAAGTTAACTTTTCGAGTTTGAAAGTGAAGTTTCAAAATGCTCTTATTTTAACCAGAATTAATTTCCTTGGCTGAAATTTGGACTTAATATCCCTTTTCTAAAACTCTTCCATTTGCGACAGATCAACCCACCTTGGAAATTCCTAGTGTTTGAGTAAAATCCATCTATTTCGTGAAAAACCTTGTGGAGACGTATTCATCTATAGAAATTGCCCTGTGGAGACGTATACAATCTTTTGTTCCCTATTGTTCACTCGTCTCCAGAGGGTACCGTGTATCAGATCATGTATACATTTACACGCAGGTTTGTTTACGGTGTAAAATCAAGGACTTCCAATTGTTCCTCGTCATCGATCTTTTGGTCATACTTAAATCTGGGGTGCTGTGGTCCAATGGTTTCTGGCAGTGGCTGCTTAATTGCTTAATGCGCCGCAGCATCTTGTAAACCATTATAAAGGTGCTACATAAAGGTTCTCATATTTCTCATGTATTTTATTTACCTGTCTCTAATAATAGACATATTTTTCAGCGCCTTGAGTACCTAATTGTTGGTAGATACGTGCGCTATATAAGACTTCAATATTATTATTATTATGTCTTGGCAACAGCTCCCATTGGTTTTGTACACGTTTTCTAACCGAAGTCGTTCTCGATTTGACTCCTGTTCTCAATTACATAAGGATATTTCACATGTGTGTCATCATTCATAATTTGGAAGAAGAGTTTTAAGCTGTTCTGAATTGTCATGCATTAACAGTGTGTACTTAATTTCTAACAATGGAGTGGTTTCTGGAATATTCATAGTTACATGAATTTATTCAATGTTATTCTACATGTAATTCATTGAATATTGATTAATACTCTTAATTGATGTATTGCTTCCTGTGTTTAGCCAACCGCGGGTGTAAAGGCCAGGACGACCTCCATCTTGCTGTGATCTGGAACCGGATAGATCTGGCCAAAAAAGAACTTCTCGCACACCGGAAATGGAAGGTACATATGTACATTAATGTGTTCCCTTCTCTCAAATGGGGGAAGACATTTCAACAACAATCTTGGGCCACCGAAAAAAGTCTGTTTTTTAATTTCACTAATTAACCCTTACCCTACTAGACCCTCCAACGCATGCCAATATGTGCCTCAAGAAAATCTCCTATGTTTTTTGCATGGCCCTCCAATATCTGCCATGTCATTTCAAGGGTAACTGGACAGGCACTCCAATACATGCCACAGAGAACAATGAGAGTCCTCTGATAACAATCAAGTGCCCCCAGCTGGTCAGTATCAGGTACCCTCCAGGGCCTCCAACTCCTGCCAATTGGAGCCTTCACTGCTACATCAAAGTATCCTCCAATAAACTGCAGCTGGAGGGCATTGGCATAACCAACTGACATGCAGTAAACTACCCTCAGAGAGTAAGGGTTAAACAAACTGAATATCTTCACATGATGTTTGTAGGGTCTCCAATTGTATATGAGGAATTTGTTTTTGTTGCAGATTTTCCCCAGAGCCGTGAGGATAATTAAGGGAATAAATATGTGCGTGGCCAGTTTTAAAGTCCGTTTTAAACCTATTCTGTTATTATTTTTTACGCTGTGAATTGAGCAAAAAAGTCTGCGGTCAAGCGCTCTGTAACGATATGTTACGCGATACGCCAAGAAATAATAGAGCCGGCCAATCACGGTCGTGTCTAGGATTTGTAGATTATGCGCGCCCGGCTGTTGTTGTATTTCAAACACACTGCATCCGAATCGACCTATCACAATCTTAGTCCAGATTTGGGAATGAAATGACGTCACAATTTAGTAACGTCGACTCCCATTGGCTGGCGCACGGGGTCGCATAAATTTGCATTCCTAGATATATCAGACATTCGATGGGGCTCCGTGGAGAACGGGTGATACTCAAACTATCTCCTCTGTTAACAAATGTTGTTTAGGATGTTTTCTCTACTTTTTAGGCAGTATGCAGTCTGTGAGATACATGTACAATACACTGTCCAAAATGTCAAAAACATCCTTCCTTCCTGCTTAATCAGAGACCCCATTTGAATTTGATCTTCACAGATGATATTAAGGTAAGTTGTTGCGGTAGCACCATGTGGCAAAATCTCTGTTGTGAGTATGTGTGGTTCTGAAAAAAACCTGAGGGTACTCAACGTTTCGGACACAAGGGCGGATCCAGAACACAATTTGGGGGGGGGGGGCCAAAAAAATTTTGGTTCCCCAAAAAAGTGGGTCCAAAAAATTACGGCGTGGGGTTCGGGGCCCGCTTAAGGGCCCGAAAATTTTTGGATTCTAGATGCTCTGTGGTGCGATCTGAGGCAATTTCTGACCACTTTAACCAATGTTTTTTTGAGGAAAAGATGGTGGTATACTGATTGCCTGCCTTTATTGCGATGTCACATAAAAACAAAAAAAAGTTGGTTTCGTTTTGGGGGGGGGGGGGGGGCATGGGCCCCTTTGGCCCCCCCCTGGATCCGCCCTTGTTCGGACAGTATGCTCTGCCCGTCGTCAGGAGACTGTTCATCAGGCCATGATACCAGTTTTTGAGACAGACAGAACATACTGTCATTGAGTACCCCTCCGGTTTTTTTTCAGAACCACACATACTCACAAATGAGATTTTGCCACACGTTGCTACCACAACAACTTACCTTATTATTACCCTTCACCGGGGTCCGCTCATATGTCCGATGCCTCATAGGTCCGACGCCTCATAGGTCTGACAAAATCGCCTCCCTAACCAAAATAAAGGCCCATAAGTCCGACGCCTCATATGTCCGAGGCCTCATAGCTCCGACACCTCGTAAGTCCGACAAATCAAACGCCTCATTTTTCCGACGTCAGACTTATGAGGCATCGGACTTATGAGGCGTCGGACCTATGAGGCAGAATAAATAAATTTTATGCCTCATAAGTACGATGCCTCATAAGTCCGAAATTTCGGACATATGAGGCGTCGGACCTATGAGGCATCGGACTTATGATACGCCCCCCCCCCTTCACCATGCAAACCTTCAAATCTCAACAGATGATATTAATCTATCCCATAACATTATGTCTAAAACTAATTTTGCATCCACTCCGCTTCGACCAGACTTAAGTTTTCTTTTTTTTGGACGTGTTCGTCACAGGCAAGTGAGTTGAGGGACTCCTTGTACTATGCCCTGGTCAACAACCAGCCAAAGTTTGTCAAGCTCTTCATTGCTGAGGGAAACATTGACTTGAAGAAGTTCCTGTCAACAGAGATGCTTGTTGATCTGTACAACGAGGTGAGGCCAGACAGTTTAGAAAAGGGGTCATTCACTACATCATGTATCACGATAATTGCGATAAAAATACTGCAGTTCGGTACCACGATATCAATGCCTGTTATAGCAATACCTGGCTATGAATAAACTATTTTCATCACAACACGTCATGTGATTGTGAATACACAATTTTAACATTCCAAATTGTACTTCCAGAAGTTGAGAACAAGGCAGCTGTGGCAGTGTCACGGCATTGTAAACATCAGAATACTAGCACGCAGTGCACATTTGATCCATGTGGAAAAGCTCGATATATATGTCAAACAGGTAGCATTAATGTTATAATAATATAATAATATAATATAAATGGAGCATTTATAAAGCGCTTTTAACAAAGATCAAAGCGCTGTACAAAACTACAAATCTACAAATAAACAAGGCAAAAACAAAAACAAAACAAAAAACTTAATTTAAGAATAACTCAAGGGAACCAGGGAATAATGAGAGGTAAAGATGAAGGTGAACTGATTTAAAGAAACGATGTGTTTTCAGCGATTTCTTGAATGTGATGATTGACGATGCAAGTCGGATGTGTTGAGGAATCTTGTTCCACTCCCTGGGGCCAGCAATCGAGAAAGCTTTGTCACCTATGGTTTTAGTGTTAATAGGAACATGTAATCGGGAAGTGTCTGTTGAAGACCTATATAAGAAGAATAATGTCGTACTTCATAATTATTACCCCTGTTCATCAGGCCATGAGACCAGTTTTTGCAGCAGCTCGAGATCAGCACATTCTGGTCTCTACCTTCACAGATACTCCTGGGTGGAGGGAGGCAATTGTAGTAAAGTGTCTTGCCCAAGAACACAAAGCACCATGTTCCCCGTCAGGGTTAGAACCCATGTACCACAACACATGAGTCGAACACCGTAACCATTGGACCGCCGCGCTCAGTATAACTTGAGTTCACAGTTCGTGTATATATTGCAATATGTATCCTAACGTGTTCTTAGTATCATGATGTATGTTGCAATTTGGTATCGTTACAGTCCTATATGAACTGACCGCTCCAAAAGTTAATTCAAACTTGAGCACAAAAAATAGGCACTACTGACATTTTGTACACAATACATTTGTACCCAGCTTGCCCTTTTTTGGCATAAATCTGCATGTCATTAGACCTGTCGGGATTGGGCATTTGGTTTTGATAACGGCGTTTTCAACAGTGTGGCATTTTTCCCATCATGCAAGCTTTTCAGAAATGGTTTGAAATGTTAAAGAGTTAACTATTTGACAAGGGGCTTTGATAGCCTTTTAGATGAAACACATGTGTTGAGTGATTTACCAAGTTGATTTATAAGTGGTGTAGTGTGCAGTGATGGCAGTTTGCCAAATTCTTCATTCCCTTCGGCAGATTTGTAATTCAAATTTGCAAAGTCTTTATGAATTCTTTTGCGAATTTGTTCATCCGGTTCAGTGTAATCAGTTATTTTTCTATTCAACAAAATTTTGTTAAATGCATGTTTGGTAACATTCACATTTTGAATGGAATGAAGAATATGCCGAACGAAAGGATGATTCTAGCAAAGCTAGTGGTACATGTTTGACCCATTGTAGGCAGTTTTGGAGCTCCATACGGAGCGGCCAGTTAACACCTACATCTAAATGCAATAAAGTTCTAGTTTGGTTACATGTTGATTAGAATCAACTTGACGATTTCAAGACGATGGACCACTGTCTATTAAACTTACTTTTTTTTTTTATTATCCTACGTCTGTTTTTCCACCCTTGTTTATTCAGACCAAGGATGAGTCTTCTGTCCTATACAGTCTCCTTGACAAGCAGAGAGTGAAAAGGGTAAGGTTACATGTACATGTATGTGAGGGTTTCAGCTCACTTCAGATCTGCACCCGATTTCACGAAGCGCTGCGACGCGTCGCAACTCGAGTTACGACGTGTAACACGTCGCAACTTGCGACACGTCGTATCATCCATTTCGTGAAAGTTGCGATGTGTTAAAGGTGTCGTAAGTTCCTTGACAACGGCTTAAAACACATGTCTAGTGGTCATCGCAAAACAAGAAGAGTCCCTTTCTTAGCCAGTTTAATGCCATAAACATTACATAAACGGGATTATAATACCGAGGCAATGTGTGTAAAGTTGTAAATAAAAAATTCATTGAATAATTAAGAATTAGACTGGAATATTGCAGCTGAAATTTCAAAGTAGTTACAGTCCACTGAGAGCTTGTTTTCCTTCAAATTTGCATCGCACGACCGCCATTTTGTTTTACGTTTTAACATATTTTGAGCGGAGATCCGACGACTCTTTGTTGAATATCAGACAACTATTTACTGTACGCTGACTTAATACATAAAACAGTCACCGAGTTGTGCTATAAATACACCTACGGAGCGTCGCACTTACGACGCATCGTAGGGATACGACGCGTCGCAGCACGGCGATGCATCGTAAATTACGAAGAGTTTGATGAAATCGGGTGCAGCATTGTTGGGTTCAGTGTACATTAGCACACCTATATTTGGTTTCATAGTCTGTGTCAATTGTAATTGTATCTTCAGCTCTGATGAGTAACCAATCACAAATCGTCATGTTTTTTTATATTTACAAATTACATGGGTTGAATGAATGACAACTTTCACGGCAATGTATCATAAGTTACGATGAGTCTAAGAGCCTTGCAACATTCAGAGGGTCTTGGGGACCCTCCGTAACGTACCTTACGTACGCAGAAAATGATGACTTTTTAGACCCCCTGTAGGCATGGCACACACATTCTGTAAATTGATACAAGAAAGATGCATACTGTACGTTTCCATGTACTGTACATGTACATGGCTTTAATGGCTTTTTTGTTGAAAAATGTTAACATTCTTTGCAACTCCTGTCATTTTTTTGGTATATTTACGTACTTCTAATGCATTTGTTTTCTTCTGAGTCTTTTGTAAATGCCATTAACATGTGTACCTCCATCAAAATCCCTTTTTGTGGTAACTTGTGCAGCATTACAGGGGTGGTTATCGGTTCTCACTGACGGACGTCAGCCATGTGCTGAAGGAACTCATCTTTGACACCTATGACTACAGCACAAGCCATTTCTACGATGGTGAGTAACTACAGTAAACTCCGGCTAAACCGACATCGTACAACTCGTCAAATCGCTCAAGTCGGCCGTCCGACTAAAGTCCCGATTGTCCGTAATGCATTTCCATTGATATTTTTATTTCTAAGTCGGCTTTTACAAGTCGCCATTTCGCTCAAGTCGTCATGTCACTCTCGGTCCTCTTTCCATGAAAAGCATTACAAAATCCATTGTGTAAGTCGGCATTCAACAAATCAGGCATTGACATCGACTTCCTGTACTACGGTTGGCATAGTGTCAAGTGAAAAGTGGTTTCGCACTGCCGTGATCGCTGCATGCATCGGTGTCGAAAAGGGTGTCCTACTGCATACATCGCATATGCATCGTGAGCATATCAATACCAGTACCCCCTCTAGTCTATACGCATGCGCTATGTCCATTTGGGGGGTCGTCTTATTGAATGACTACTGCTGCAGTCAATGCGTGCCTGGTATATACCGGATCACGCACGCATTTAATTTGTTACTGTGCACGTACATACATGTATGTATCATGGTCTCCACTATCAATACCCCAAACGTGATGATACAATTCGAGGATTAATTTGCTGGATTCAACTTAAGCGTTAAGGAGATAATCCAGGGTAAATCGAAGCCAATTAGTGCAATGAATCATGTGTGCAAAAGACCATTCATGTAAGTTGGCAAAATGACGACTTAAAGCAGATATCGGCAAAGTCGTCACAAATTCTCGGGTCCCGAGAGTGCCGGTTTAGCCGGAGTTTACTGTACATAGATAATGATAATTATAAAAGTGGGTATTTATAAAGTGCACATATCAAGTTTATCAACCAGGACTGGTGCTCAAGGTGCTACATAATTATATACCCCTTCTCAAATTAATCACACTAACCATCTTTGCCCTCACAGGTACCCATTTATTCCTGGGTGGAGAGAAGCAATGAGTGACAAAGTACCTTGCCCAAGGGCTCACGCACCACGACCCCATCTGCATCTTTACCCGCAGACCACGAATCCAGTGCCCTTAACCACGAGGCCACAGTCACTCCATTCTAAATTGCCATGCAATATAATTGACCGATTGAGCTCTCTAAGTCACGTGACCTGCAGTGGGTATCCAACATCAACAAACAAGGCCTTCTCCATGGCAAAGTGCATTCCGCTGTTGTAAAGTACATGATGATTGTTGCATTTGTTTGCTCGATCGAGGCTTTTCTTTCTAAAAACTTCTGAAGAATAATCCGGAGTTTGTACCGGAGACCTCACCAGAATGGCTGATAAAGCCGCTCACCTGGACGGCCGTGGTCACACACTTTTGATTTGTGTTTTACAAAAACACTGACGCCAGTAGTCTGGTAGCTCAAAAGAAACCTCTTTTGTAGTAGAATACTGGTAATTTATGTGATTTAAATCCATGTCACAACATACAACTTTCATAAAAGGGCTTCGTAACTGTGTTACATGTAGGAGTGTTATTTACCAAAAATAACTTCTTTTGTTGATTTCTTCTTTTGTTGATTTCTTCAAAATGTTGATGAGGCCTTCTTTTGTTGATTTCTTCAAAATGACAGCTTGCCAGAAAGAATAATTTCACAGGGAGTTTAGTCCCCTCACTATCTTTTAACAAAGTCTGTTTTTCAGCAACAATTACATCTGTTACCTTTTGGATAGCTGCAAAAGGTGGACTGTAGCTTTAAGATCTAGGGTCACATGAGGTCATTGTATATTCTGGTTAGGTAAGCTGAAAAGTGTGCTTACTAACTGACTGTATAGATACTGCCAGCACGCCAGGGGGATTGCGCAAGTTGAACTTGCAATATTTTTTGTGTTTTGATTTGTTTTTTTGTATTTGTTTTGCAGGCAAGGCTTGTTTCAATGAACCTCTCCATGAGCTCTTTATATGGGCTGTCCTGCTGCATCGCTTCCGTTTGGCCAAGTTGTTTTGGAAGCGAGGCAAGCCGTCAATAGGGGGCGCCCTCCTGGCTAGTACGATCCTGAAGGCATTGTCTGAATTGCAAAGGCTGGACTCGCAAGAGTCCGCAGAGATGCACACACATGCCAAGTGAGTGTTGGTCCAAATTGATTAGATGCATGTAATTCTCTTGGGGGAGCAAAACAGTGTTTTACAAAAATACTAAATAATAATAAATTATACATTACGTGGTCTACATACAAATGATAGCTTGCCAGAAAGAATAATTTCACAGGGAGTTTAGTCCCCTTACTATCTTTCAACCAAGTATGTTTTTCATCAATAATTGCGCCAGTTACTTTTGGGATGGCTGCAAATGATGGACTATAGCTTTAAAGTTACCCCTGTGTCATTTTTCTTTTTAATTTGTCAATTAAAGAAAATGTCAAAAGTATATTTATGATAGGTTTGCTAACCACTGTATTGACAACATAGTTTTAATGATAAGTAACAATAATACGCCAGTATTTTAACAATAATACGCCAGTTACTTTTTCGGATGGCTGTAAATGATGGATTATAGCTTTAAGTCATGTTTAAATCATTTCATGTAGGGCATGAAAAATGGACAATTAAGTTGAAACCTTTTTTTTGTTTTTTGTTGTTGAGATTTTACCTACCAAGGAGGGATTAAAATCGAAAGTGCTGTGTGTAAAGTTTGTTCCTTGAAATTGACTCTTTCGTGTTATGTAAACATCAAGGCCCAAGTTGTCCGTGGTAACCATGGTAACCGTTTTCTCCATTCTGCCCCAATCTGCAGGATGTTTCAGAAGATGGCCATTGATTTCCTCAACCTGTGTTATGTAGACGACAGACACCGCACCTCCCTCCTCCTCGTTCGCAACCTGCCGGACTGGGGTAATTCCACCTGCCTGGACCTTGCTGCTGCTGCCCGTAGCAAGCAATTCATTGCCCACGCTGCGGTGCAGAACCTACTCAATGAACTGTGGATGGGTAGGCTGTCACGACGTACAAGCGTTTTCAAGGTGAATGTCTGAGATAATGTGTGCAGTATACGAGCTGATTGTTTACTTTTTTGGCAAGTTGACTGTACTATCCTTAACCAGCCCAATAAAGCATTCTTCATATACCGACAAGTCTTTAACTTTTTACATACAAATTTGTTGAATGATTTGCGAAATACCTGTTTAAAATCATTGTCAAACAGTTGTGTAGCAGTTGAGGGGGGGGGGGGGTGCACCACCATTATCAACAAGTACTCCAAGAGCATATATAATGCTTCTGAAATCTATCACTCAGGTAGCTAAAGTACATGTAGGTACGTAAAATCAGAGTAAAGTATAAAGAGATAAGGCACCCCAATGATGATTTAGAAATTAAATCAATCCTTGTTTTGGTAAGGTTTTTTTTTTTTTTTTTTAGGAGTTTGATCAATCCAAAACCACTTTTGTGGAAATGAAGGCATCATTTCTGATGGCACAAGACCGAAGAAATTATCAAGGCCAAAAATTCTTAAAACTTCCAAGCAAGTAAATAATGTTCTTAAAAGGGACTGAGACAAACACAAAGTTTTTGGCTAAAATAATTGGTTAATGATTAGATAAATTTATTTCGATGCTGCATAAAGGATTATACATAATGTTACATACCGTATTCAAATCAACAATACATACATAGACATATTTACAATAGTGAACATTAACTAAATGGCAGCATCTAGGTCCGGGGTGAAGCATCAGCTTTTGTTCCCCAGTCTATGGACAGATAGACAAGTGACAGACATTCATGAAAAGACAGAGCACAGACACCGGTGTCTATTACATTGCTTTAGTATGCAATTTAAAAAAAGATTTTTTTGGTTTTCTAGCAAAAATAGAGACAGTGGGTGATACTATTCCAATATAGAGTGCCACGTTGGCCTACCATTATGTGCTCCGTGCACAACCCTACCGTTATTTGCTCTGTGCCATAGGGTCTTCGCTTCAGCGTAACTCTCTCTGAGTGGTCTCCCTAAGTCTCCCTTTTTTACCGTTGAGGGGGTACTTGTGCACGGAGCACATAACGGTAGGGCGCTTGGTCTCAAAAGTACTCCTTTTTCTTCTGTAGTATACTAAGAGAGGTTTATATTATTGAGTAAACCTTGTGAACCACCAGTTTTGCACTTGAGGAAGAAAAACTTGTCTGATCCCTTTGTGGTTAAAATAAACCCACCACCTGGTGCACGGAGAGATGGCTATTCAGTTAATCAAAAGTAGTGTGTGATGGTTGATCAAAAGAAATGTTAATTGTGGGCAAACACCTAAATTGAGATTTATTGTTAACCCAATAGCTCCTGCACTGCATTGTATCATATTCCGTTTATTCACTAAAGAATCAATAAAACCATGGAAGCAGGGCGGTTTGTGCACTACAGTGACTAAAGGGTAAAGCAACAAGTAAGCCTTTGTACAACAACTTGCGTCGTCTAGCATGCATCGTGTTTTTTTTTTCAGGCAAAGTTAGCGGTTATATTTGATCACATCAAAATGTATTCACATGTAATGCCTCAAGTTTGTTTTGGTGCTTTCTTGTACAGATCTGGTCATGCATATGTTTCCCGATAGCAGTCCCCTTTGCGATAACTTTCATGTCCAAAGATGACCCAACTGTGCCAGCCAAGAAGGTAAGTTTCAGATGAAGGAGACATTTTCTTGTGATCCCGACACTCTTGGGGTGACCACAGCTTCTCTCACACAGTCTACCCCTCTCTATCCATTTTGCTCCCTCTCAAACAAGATTTCAAAACCTATCTGTTCACTTTCTAATCTCCTCTTTGGTTTGTACCTTGCAATTTATATGTCTTGGACTTAGCATTTATAAATTTTGTAGTTTGTGTAGTTATTCATTGTATAGCGCCATGAGCATACTGAGTAATGGACCTGCTGCGCTTTATAAGATGCCACTATTGTTATTTTTATTACCGCATGCCTTGCGTAACCCCGGTACGGTATGCGGTATTCATAAATACCTCGGACAGTTTAGCTATTCCTATTGGTCGAGAGCCCGTCACGTGGCCGGTCTTAAACGGATGATAAAGACATAGCTAGCTGGTCTTAAACACTTTTCTAGTGTCACAATAAAATGTGGACTCCTAAAAATCCAGTTCCTCTTACCGTTTCATTGGTTGAACGGTCACAATTCTCACGTAGGCATGCGCAACACTACCAGCGAGTCAACATTTTATAGTTCTAAATTCAAAACGCAACGCCCCAGATGCGTTCTGCGCGACATCGCGCAGAACATGCTACGCGCGCGTCAATCTCCATAAAAGGGTTGTTTACATATTACTCGCCAGCTGAACACTCCATTATTTAGCCAGAGGGATGTTTCAAAAAGCTTAAAGTGAACTTGTTGCACAAAATCGGGATTTTTGAACGAATTATTTGATATTTTTTTACCGAAAAGGTATTTATGAATGGGAATGAATATGTGCTCGGTCGGTATTTATCGGCTCGGTCGGTATTTATCGGCTCGGTCGGTATTTATCGGCTTAGAGTCTGGGTGCTGATAATTACCCTCGCCTCCGGCTCGGGTAATTATCAGCACCCAGACTCTAAGTGGTCTTAAACAGAGTGATAAAAACCTCCGGAGCACACATTTATTCCCTTAGTCAACGCCAGTGATACGGTGTGGTAACGCAGTACACGGCGGCGCAATTACCGACTTGATTTCGAGTCTACTAAACAGTTAGTCAGGCAACGTACCATACACGTGCAGTTGATATGGTTTGATCTAATCATTTGCATATCCTGTAAACATCATTTTTAATAGATATACATGCATGAAGAAACTTTTTGATTGATTATCCTTGAATGCAGATGTTAGAGCATCAGCTATCAGATGGAGATGCAGGCAATAACGAATCCCGTGAAGATATCTCAAGTCCCCTGAAATCCAGTAAAACCACCAAAGACATCCACCAGACGTGAGTTGACAATAATTATTCTATCTTTACAAAGACTGGCAGATGAGGCATCTGTATTCAGTGACGCAGTCACTCGGTGTCAATTCAACATTTGTGTTGCTTACATCACAATCTAGCATTTGAAACAAAAAAATATAAGTATAGTTATTTTTGCAATTCAAGGTCAAATGTCATTTCACTACGTATTTTGTCTACTCTTCATGCTATGATTTTGGTTTTATTTGGTGAAATGGAAGCTATTCAATGAGCTTTAAAATGATGTAAAATTTGGCTTGGTGCATGTATGTTGGTGCTATGCTAGATACAAGTAGTTAAAGTTGGGAGGTCACTGCTAATTAGTCAAAAGTGCCTTGACCTCATCTTAAAAACTAACGAGCCAAATTACAAACAAATTGTTCCTATGTGCCCTCACAGCTGCAGCCAATTTGCACACGGCTTATCAAAACCTTACCCAGTGCACTGTAACATAAACACATTAGGTAATCAATGATCTAGTTCCATGCATACCAAAAACGTCATTGGACCTTTTACATGTCATGACCCCAATATTTGTTTTCCTCAAATATGTGACCCACTCTACAAACAAAAAGTATTAAAGTTGCACTGTGCAGTATCGTGCAATGGTCTGCTCGAGGTTGAGAGGGGAAAATTTCTTCAAAATGTGATTTTTCTTTTTTTGTCATGGATGACCTCTTTATTAACTAAAGTTTCAGGGTTCATTCAAAGAAATGTTGATTTCGATGAATACGGTGGGGAAAAAAAAATACAATTTTAAGAGCATCATGCTCAAATCTGGAGCCAGCTATTTTCAAGCCTGTTTTCTTTGTGCAATTCAAACTCAAAGGAAGTAATTAATAAGCAAATATGTCATATCTCCAGAACGGGAGGGGCTATGGAGCTCTATTATATTCCAAATGAAAGCCTACATGGTGGGCTTTCCAACCATTTTTAACATATGGTACATAATGCCCTTTTTTGTGGAGCGGATCACACATTGTAAAAGACCTCGATAATATGTTGAAAATCGCAGGCCTCCTGTCGAGGAAACCGATGACTGCATGAGTGTGAAGACATACATGACGCATGCCACCCACAGGCAGCATCATAACAATGGCTACTCGTGGTGGTACAAGTTGAAGCTGTTCCACGAAGCTCCTGTCATTAGCTTCCGCATCAACATGGTCAGTAGACATCAACTCTCTCCTTCATATTGTCCAGTCTTAAGCTTTTTTTTTTCTAGCCAGAAAAAAAGCTTGTTACCCGTGATAATTAAAGGGGCACTAGGCCCTGAAATCCCCGAAAATGTTATGTTTTGGATTGTTTACTTAGCCTATTTCAAACATCTGGTTGAAAGGAAACCAACCTAATGTCTTACCGTTCCCGAGAAAAGACGAAAAAAGCCCGCTTGTTTACATTGGACATGACGAGTACGAATACGTTTTTCGTGTCGTTCTCATGTACGCTATACACGCTGTGTGTCTCGGGAACAGTGTGCGGTGACCAATTACCAATGCAAAAAAATTGTGGTTTCTTCAACGTCCGCAAAAGGCGAACACTTTACGCGTACGAATGAAATCACAACTAGCATCCAAACAGCTCGAATTTATGGGGTCGCAAAAGTGGACCCTGAAATTCGTTCTCGCACGCATAATACATGAATAACACAAAAACGCCCAGTTTTGAAAGGATAGTTGTGTGGATGTTTATATCCTACTTTTAAAAGTTATTTCCGATTATCATCATCTCGTTCAAAGCGCGTTTTGTAGCCCAATTGGGCTGTTCCAGGACCTAGTGTCCCTTTAACATGCTCTGAACTGATCAGTGACATGGCGATGGGTGGGGGTGAAAAAAACCCCAATGAACTCCTCCCCCCCCCCCCCTCTCTTGCCCCCCGCCGCAGCCGTTCCCCCTCCCCCCCCCCCCCCCCCCAAAAAAAGAATGGGGTTGGAGGAATGGGGAATAGAAGTAGCTGCGTATCTGATTAAACTAAAGTTGCAAAATCAATTAATCCTATACTACAAGGCCCAATTCGGACAATTCACAATGCAGTGCGCCACCAAGAGTTTGCCATGGAGGTCCATTTTTAAAGTTTACTGTCGACAAAACATGGCTCATTACATTGAGTGTCAGTAGACAACCTGAGCTAGTTTGTTATAGATTGGGGCATAGCGTTCAGCCGCCTTGCAAAAGAAATAGTGATAAAATGAAAAGAAAAGGGCTAACAAATACTGGAATCAGACACTTACGAAACTACCGACCAAAAAAACGAACAATTTCAAATGTCCCGCGCTGCGAATTTGTCGACCATCTCCCACAATGCACTGGGAAAAAAACCTCTCTTTGGAAAACTCTCGGTGGCGCATTGCATTGTGAATTGGCCAAATTTAGCACTGGTCTTGCTGAATGTATTTTTCCATCCTTGCTTTCCAGATAGCGCATTTTGTGTTTCTGGGACTGTTTAGCTACATCCTCCTGTCCAACTTCACAGAAAAGATCTCTGTCTATGAAATGGTTCTCATCGGATGGGTTTTCACGCTCTTCACAGAGGAGGTGCGACAGGTGAGTCTAAGATAGCAATGTTCTAATTTTTCTTCTTTTTTGTTTTGGTAATGGACTACTTAGGGACCGTGACCATTGAGCCCCGGTATGAAAAGGGCCTCTCGGTAAGCTCGTCCCCTCCCAAGAAGTCCTTTCGCACCGTCCCAGCTACCGGCCTAGGAGCTGGTCTGGTTGCTAATCAGGAACTCCTCCATCCTGTTTGCAAGTATTGACACATGTAATATATCCCAGAAGAAACCTGCTTGTGGTTTTCATCTCTCAGCGCGCAACAATAGAACACTTTCGTCGGCACAGATCAAAACCCCTGCCATGCGGTTTTTACGCACAATGGGACCGTAAATTAAAAAGGCGTTTGGAAGGATTTTATCTTTAATCTGGTAAATCTGCTATTGTTCTGCTCTGGGCGTTCTCTGAAGAGCAATAAATTGATGCGTCTGACTGACTTCAAAACTTCTCGTCAGACAGGACCATGTACCGGACGAGACTTGGCTGAAGACCGGACTGGCTCTGGCCCGGACGAGGTACCGGGGGGCCCTTTTCATACCAGGGCTGAATGGTCACGGACCCTTAACTTGCATGAATAGTAAATGGCATTTCATCACAACTCACCAGAGCTCCAGTAGGAACACAACATGTGCATGTTCCAATTTGCACGTGTAAGCCGCTAAGTACACACGCCTAATTCAGTTGGGCTCAAAAATCATACACATTCCAAAAGCCTGTATCTTCAACTGTTGCTTTGCTAAGGCTTTGCATCATTCAATGCCTTTGTATTCCCCCGCCCTGCTCTAACATTTAAGTTGCCTTGAAACCCCAGATTTTTCAAGAGGACTACCACACGTTGTACCATCGCTTTGATGCCTGGCTGTGGGGCTACTGGAACTGTGTTGATCTCCTGTCGCTAGTGATGTTTGCCGTGGGTCTTGGGCTTCGGTTTCACCCAGTCACATTGGACGCCGCCCGGATTGTTCTGGCCCTGGACCTGATTGTCTTCTACCTCAGGATTCTCCACATCTTCTCGGCCAGCAAGCTCTTGGGCCCCAAACTCATCATGATCGTCAGAATGGTAATGATCAAGCTGCAGCATTCCTTGTTTGTTGTCAAACTGTACGGATTATTTGATGTATCTTTCAGTTTTGCTATTCAACTTGGTCTGGGTGTCAGATGTTAGTGACAAGAAAATGACTGGTGATTTGTCTCAGCTTTTGTATGATGTTAGCACTGCTTCACTAATTTGATACCCATTTGTGGAAAAAGTTACCTCATTTCTTGGTACATATACATATAAATGAGCTGGTCGTAAAGCAACTTGAGTAAGAATACTGGTGTTAAAATTTAATTGTTTGTGCACACAGCAGAATGCTTCCATCTTAATATCCAGACTCAACAACTCAGCCTAGAGTCAGGGTTTGTTCTTCCTTGCAAACACTTTGTCTTGGCGTACAAGTTGAAATAACACCTATAGACCATTTCAATCACACTATCCTGTACATATTTACAGAGGACCCTTTCAATGGCAAAAGTATTGTGCCGGCAACAGCCACATGATGGATTATCTGATGAGCAACAGCTTGCACAATGCTTTGGCCATTGTACAGTGATACAGGGTGAGTCAAAAAAGCGGATCCCAAACCTCAAAAAATATATTTCATATTTAAAAAATATGTAGTGCCAAACATAATGACTGGAAAGCCAATTTCAATCAAGCTTCTTTTAGATGAAAAATTATTGATATTGCTCCATCCGTTCAAAGACTATCACCATTTAAACGCAATGACCCTAAAGCCTGTTTCGTCAAAAAATAAGCAGTTAAATATGTATTCTGACTGTTTGGAACAACAAAAAAAATGACACAGAATACTTGTTTCAACAACTGTCAACAATTACCAAATATCTATATTAACAACCCTGGTTAAGCAAACAATATGTTTTATAAAATGCACTTGTTGTAAAAGACAGGCCTACAAAAGGACTTTGTTGAATATTTTTAACGTTTAAACAGGTTTTATCGCTGGTGATGTTTGAAGACAATTGTGACAAAAATTCTTGAAATCCCATTTTTGGACGTAAGAGGTTTTAGGGTCATTGTGTTTAAATGGTGATATTATTTGAACGGATAGAGCAACTTCAGTAAATTTTTCATCTAAAAGTAGCTTATGAAATTGGCTTTTCAGTCATTATTATGTTTGGTGCTACATATTTTTTATAAATATGAAATATAATTTTTGGTGTTTGGGTTCTGCTTTTTTTTACTCACCCTGTACATGTGTAGTGTGCCCGGAAATGGTTTATAAAAGTGGCTGAATCCATTTCCCATAGACCTTGGTGTTTCGGTAGTCTGAGTATCACACGCTGTCCAACAGAGCCCTCTCTATCTCTGGTCCAACGTCTGATCGATTTTAGCATGCAAATTTAGGCAACCCCGCGCACCAGCCAATCGGAATTGACGTAACATCATTTCATTCCAAAATCTAGACTAAGCTGTTGATTGGTCAATTTTGATGCCATGTTTTTGTAATGCAACAGCGGGCATGGAGATGTAATAAAGCCGGACATTGGCTGTAAAAACTGTTAGCAAAATGCTGTGCATCTAGAATACACAAACGCTTATCGTGGGCTTGAGGTGAACGCGCAAGAGGGCATTCGCATTACTCATATTATTAAAAAAATTATGTGATGATCATTCGAAACCACAGTGTGACAGGTCCCGTGACACAGCCTATTTTTGCTAACACAATTCACAATGCAAAAGCATAGTAAATGTCGAGACCCGCATGTAGAAGGTGCCTGCTAAATGGTCAGAATCTCGAGGTCGAGACGCAGTTTAGTTGCATAATTAATCGCCGAATCTTCTCGCATCATCATGGACTAGTGTTTCTGCAGGTCGTAGCCAAATAATTGGAATGCGGCTTCAAACTCCTGTTTTGCTTGTACTGCAGCTGGTGATTCTGGTGGCTTTCTTGGCTATTCTGATGGTCTTCATGATAGCCTTTGGGGTAGCTTGTCAGGCCATTCTCTTCCCTAACAGCCAGGACCTGGCCAGCATCATCAAGGGTGTGTTCTACCAGTCTTACTTTCAGCTGTATGGCGAGCTGTTCCTAGAGGACATTGATGGTAATTTCAAGATCTTTTCAATGAAAACTCTTAAATTTAAATTAAAATCATTCCTTCTTAACTCTCATGGGACAATACTAATTCATTATTAACTGTTACGCTATCTTCGGCCACTAGTACTAGTCTGTGGTATGTGTTGTTTACCATTCACTTTGGTGTTTATTGATAAGGGAATAACTGCGTGCTTGGCTGGTTTTGAAACACTCTGTTTAAGACCAGTTGGAGTACAGATGCCGACTATTGCGATGCGGCTCAGAACGCAGCTGTGCCGGTGTACTGTGAATTTAGGACTATTAATACTGACTCACTGGTAGTATTGTGCATGCTTACGTGAGAGTTGTGAACGTTAAACTAATAAAATGCTAAAAGGCACCAGATTTCAACGGAGACATTTGGTGACACTAGAAAAGTGTTTAAGACCACTACCTATTCCTATTGGTCGAGAGCCCATCCGGCATGTCCGGTGGGTGGTTTTAAACTACTGGTAAGAATTGTTTTGAACTAGCCAGTTATCAAAGTGGCTCCTGAATCGGGACAATTGATTTCTACTTTTCGAAAATGTAGTCTTCGAAGTTTAACGGTTTTGAAGTTCCCCCCCCCCCCCCCGAAAAAAAATTTAAAAATGAAGGCAGCCTCACAGCGACATCTTTACAACCTATAAAACCTATAAAAACCTATAGTTCAATTTGGAAGGCTATTTTCTTTCTCTAACCCTAACCACTTAAGCACTTTTACTAGAAAGTATCCTGAATACTCCAAAATCCACCGATTGTGTCATGCACACACAAAAATTGGTGTTGGTGACTGCTCAGTATGGATGTATTCTGAATCCATCCAAATCCTCAGTGCTGCTAGGCTTTAATACAATCCTGAATCCATCAAAATGCCCCTGTCTTCAATATGGATGTACATGTATCCTGAATCCGCCGAAATACTCCAATGATTAACTGGGGTGTGGATTTTGATGGATTCAGGTACGTTAGGGTTGTACAGTAGCCTATATAACCATTGGAAACCTATACTATTATCAACAGAAATGTCTTGTGTTGGTAAATAAAAACAATGAAATTACCCGCTGACTAGCCCCTTGCCGTGTTCTCCAACTTTGAAAATTAAAGGTCGGTGTGCCGTCAAAAAGCGGAGGGGGGGGGCACTATAGGGGCGCTATTTGCTGTCATACATTTCTTTATGCTAGGGGTGCTATTTGCAGATGAACATGTAATTTATGTACGGATAGCAGCTTTTAGGCCATTTCTAATACAGTAACAGTTAAGTACAATACTGGCTCGGCATCATCTTTTTTAATACATCAGTGACCAGGGACTCTGAGGCAGTTTTGCCTTGAGACTTTTGACCTGATGGATTGCTACAATGGCCAGGCTTGTCATTTTGACAAATGTTCCATGTTACTGCTTTTGGCAGAGTTTCTGGCAAAAATTTACCCTGGAGGGTAAGGGTTGTCCCACTTGTTTATCTTTTATATTATTTTTTCCTTTTTTTTAATGCATGGCGACAACTTTTTAAGCATGGCGGCATCTGTTTAAGCTTTGCGGGTGCCTCAGAAAGCATGGCGCGTACAGATTGGAGAACACTGCCTTGGTCATGGTCTTCTCAGTTTGAGCCACTTCTAGCTGCCATGACCTTTACAGGGTTGATTTCGTTAACTTGATTTTCATGTTGTTGAGTCTGCATTTCCAGTTTGGGTATTGGACTGACGCGACTTGCCGTGGGCATCTTGACTGGACTAGATTCCAAGGACATTTCGGCTGGATTCCAATTTGATTTCAGGGCATTGTGGATGCTGTACGGCATTATCTATATGAGAAGTTTGCTGAGAAATAAGCTGTAATGTAATTCATGGTTGAAAAGCTTTCATACTTTACTCCACAGGTGTAGACTGTGCCGTCGAGAATGCAGACAGTTCTATGCAGCGTTGCCCTCAGCATTCCTGGTTTGGGACCATCGTCCTTGCATTTTACCTCTTCACCAGTAACATTCTACTTCTTAATCTTCTCATCGCAATGCTCAAGTACGTAGGCTTTTCTTCGCAACGTTTTGAAATGACTGTGGGCGTATACAGAAAGTATTCGTCAACTTATATTGGGGGATTGTAATGATGCTAATTCCTGTGATATGGAGGGTTTCACGTTATTTAGGTCATCATTTCTTTCAGAGGACAGTGAAATTGGAGAGCAGGACCTGCCTACACTGGATACCTTTCCATAAACGTGACACACAGACATAAGACAGACGGACGTTCCAGCCAGACGGAATTGTGGGGTGATAGCATTGTGTTCCCATTATCCCTTTTTCTAAAGATTCTCTTCTGGGGTGATGTTTTTCTATTGTGAAAATAGTGGGGTGATGTGTCCTGAAAGGAACATCTCCCCACAAGGGTGGTATGGTCAGAACGGACAGACAGACATCAGACAGCGTTGGATCTTTAAAATAGAATAATAATGTGTTTATTTTACAAACCTCCAACAACACAAGACACAGTCTTCTCAACGCACACATGTCTGCTTATTGCGCAAGCATGATATTTTCAGACGTTAGCCTGAACTCAGACTTTTTAATTCTGAGAGACGTAATAGTCTGACTCTTAAATCTTTTGTCTGAAATCAGATTTTTGAATCTGAGAGAGTCATTTTCAGTACAAAAAGGAATACATGTACATCTTTCAGACCTGTCATCCAATTTTCAGCCTTTTTTAAATTAATAATACACTGTATCATCCCTGTTATGGTGCCACACCATTGCTTCTCAAAATTTATTTACTGATTAACCCTAACAGAACTCAACCCATCAAACCCCAACAGCATGTTTTGTTGGAATCTGTCAGGATGGGTACAGTACGCCTCAAACAGTCTTTTACAGTCTTTTACATTGGGTTGGAACAGCTCCAGAATCAAAGTCAGAAATATGTGTGTGCAGTTTCCCATTCCCATATGTGATGCCATCAAGCTACATGAGTCATTTGTCGGGAATTTCCATTTGGAGATACAGACCAAAATAGGGTCACTTCATCACATCACTTCATCACGTCTCTTTTGGTGTTCCGACTTCCATAACTTTTGAACTAAAGATGGTATCAGCACGCGGTTTTCACAGCAGTAATGCTGAGATTGTGCTCTTTTCAAATCTGTAATAAAAAATGTTTTGACGGGGGTCGGCTAACAACTCATTTAGCTTGATCACATCACATATGGTGTTGGAATTTGCCAGGATGGGTATGGTTCCTAGTAAATCATGCAAGGGAGTTAGGGTTAATATCTTATTATTATATCAATTCTTGACAAACTGACAAAGTACTTTCCCCAAACCCCGTCTGTTCCTTTACAGTTACACCTTCCAGGCTATTCAGGATAACACAGATACCTTTTGGAAGTTCCAACGCTACCAGTTAGTCAAGGAGTATTATCAGCGCCCTTCCGTCGTGCCACCGTTGATCATAGTGGTTCATGTCTACCAGATGGTACGATGGGCCTGGGACAAGTGTTTCCCTGGACATAAACTCTACAGGTCCCTCAATCTGATGAGTAAGTCCAAAGCTCATGAATTCACATCTTCATTTTGTCATTGTTTGTTAATGGCCTTTACAGATGCTATTGGTTGGTAGTTTGATACCTGATACTAGTAAGTTAATAATAATAAATGTGCTTATATATTGCTTTCTATGGTATCAACAATTTTAGAGCGCTTTACAATTATTACCCTGTTCATCAGGCCATGGGACCATGCAAAAAAAAGGTAAAGGGTAAAGGGGACGAACCTGTGTTCACAGGAACGGAGTGCCCATCTCTCTTTCATTAGCAATTGGGCCAGACTCATATGCTGTTGTGGGGGGATCGCCACACCTCCTCCACAGCGAGTCTGTTACCTTCCCAGCATTGAATAACGCCGGTACCCATTTAACACCTGGGTTGAGAGGAGTAATTAAGGTAAAGTGCCTTACTCAAAGGGAAGAACACGCATGGCCACGGCGGGGCTCGAACCCACAACCTCACGATCATGAATCCTGTGCTCCGCCGCTAGACCACACGTGCCCACATGGGACCATGCAGCAGCCGATACCAGCGCTCACAGGTACCCATTTATACTCCTTGGTGGAGAGAGGCAATTGTAGTAAAGTGTCTTGCCCAAGGGCACAAACACCATGTTCCTGGCAGGGTTCGAAACCGCGCACCTTCGTACATGAGTCAAACACCGTAACCTTTGGACCATGGCGTTCTAAGTTGTTGTTATACTTGTAGACTCTTTAAAAAATGTGGAATTGAATATAACATATTTAAATAGAGCGCAGAGGCTAGTGTTTGCTTCGATAAAGCCACATGACAAGCATAATCACAGAAAATAAAATCAAGAAAGAAGTTGCATTGAAACAAAAGAAATTCAAGATTTACATCTGTGTATACTTAGGCCAAACAAAATAGTTATGCTTCCGATTACATGGCATTTGAAAATAGGGAAGGTAGGTTGGGAATTTTTTTTTTTTTGGGGGGGGGAGGGATTTTTTGTGTACGATCATATGGAGGTGTCTACATGTAGTCAAGGGTAAAAGGTAGTTATATGATGGTCGTCTCTTCTTTTTTTTTCTTTTTTTTCCCCAAAAATGAAGGTAGGGGCTGTCAAAATAGGGTAATAACCGAAGCACAACTATTTTTTTAATTTTTTTATTTGGCCTTACAGCTTGCCGGAACACATGCAAGGCACTAGATAAGAAAAAAGAAATGGAAACGCATGCCATTATGTCTCAGACGTGAAAACCATTATGTGGAGGTTGTACAAGCGATCAGATACTGTTAGCTTACTTGATAGGCCATCATTCGTGTGGTCTTGTGACGTCATTTTACGCAACTCACATCCGCTACGTGTGTACACGTCGAGGATATGCCGCATGCTACTTGTCAGTGTGAAACGCACAGGAAATTGTCGATTTTCACCCTCTTTTTCATAAATTATCATTCGATTGAAAGAGGATTAATTGCTGAAGTGCAATGTTTATATGCCACTTGTGTTTCAAAACAGGATTAGTCAACAGATACAAGTCTTTCATCAGGCAGCCCCTTTGGATTACTGTTTTCACTGAAATGGATCTGATAACTAGTCCTATGTGTACACATTCACGATGCAAAACTACAGAATGGTCGCTAAATCAGTCAAGGCCGGTTAATAGTTGGTCCCGCGATGATAAACGTTGACGCTGATGATCGCTGAACACCGAGCCTTTTTCAGGCAGTTCATAGTCGTCAAGCGACGGTTGAAAGAATACGCGCTCGGAAGCAATGGTTGATAACTATTCCTATGTGTACACATTCACGATGCGAAACTACAGAATGGTCGTTAAATCAGGCAAGGCCGGTTAATAGTTGGTCCCGCGATGATAAACGTTGACGCTGATGATTGCTGAACGCTGAGCCTTTTTCAGGCAGTTCATAGTCGTTGAGCAACGGTTGTAAGAATACGCGCTCGGAAGCAATGGTGGATAACTGTTCCTATGTGTACACATTCACGATGCAAAACTACAGAATGGTCGTTAAATCAGTCAAGGCCGGTTAATAGTTGGCCCCGCGATGATAAATGTTGACGCTGATGATCGCTGAATGCTGAGCCTTTTTCAGGCAGTTCATAGTCGTCGAGCGACGATTGTAAGAATAGGCGCTCGGAAGCAACTGTTGGCAGCAGTTTATGCATACATGTATCCGTTCAGATGCGAAACCTCTTTAATAACTGAGGACACCTAGCTTTCAAATTTTTAACAAGCTTGTCACCAAATTTTAGGCCAAATAAAGGCTCCGGTTTCTGGTCTGCGCGCGTCGCCTTGGCCATGCGTGTCAGCAAAATTTAAAAGTTTTTTTCAATGTAAGATGATGTCTCAAAACCGCCAAACTCACTGGTTTGACTGGAATCCTGCTGCTGCACAATTTTAACATGTTTTTACAACTCTTTAGATGGGGTTACGATCGAGTATAAGCTTCGTGTGGCCTCTCTAGGTTCCCATACATTTGGCACTAAATTTAGTCGGGCACCATTTTTGCAGTCATCAAGTAAAAAAAAAAAAAGTTGCATCGCCGCACCACTTTTAGGGCAAGCTCCATACCAGAAACCGAAAACTTGTTTGGGGCCTTACAACTTTTTTTTTTTTTTACTACGGAATGGCAAAATGTGGTAAGCATTTTGTGGGAAACCCCACAAGTGGAACTCCCTGTACCCGGGTCGTTGGCCCAAGCTTTAATCTGCTACTGCTTTGTCTGTAGATTACAATATACATTTGTACCTGGTATTTTTTTGTGTTGTCTGGTTCCTTGTTGTACCGTTTGTTGTTGCTGTGAACACTTTTTTCCTATAGTGCATATGACCTGTTTGTGCACTAAATCTAGGTAGCCAGTTGTATGCTTGCTTTTTTGTCAATGCTTGTCACCCTGGGATAACAGCGATGATGCTGCATGCTTGTTTGAGTGATTGCGTTGAATGTACAGTGTATTAGAGTCAGTCAGTACCAGTTTCGTTTTTCAAAGAATTGGGACTATTCAAACAAATTGGAAAGTCTTTTATTATGTGACTGGGTAAAAAAGTGGGGTTTCCCCCTGTTACCCTAAGAATGGGCTTACTACTCAACAGCAACAATAACAATTGTTCCACATTTCTTGAAAAAACGGTAGTACAGTTAACAAAAAACAGTCAGTAGTTCTCACTTTGTTGAAGAATGCGACATGCTTGATAATCAGTCTGAGCGTAACCGGACATTTTGGTCAGGCTAATGTACATTCTAAAATTTTAGCAATTTTTGGCGAGCTGCGAAGCAGATGCTAGCCTACAGTATACAAATACATCTTTCCGTCTGTCCGTCTGTCCATCGTTTCTCGGGCTGATCGGCCATCCGCATTCAGATTTCAATGTTGAGATTTTTGCTTCTGGCTACTTAAGAGAGGGTGTGGGGGTGGGTAGGGGAGGGTGGGGTGGGGTGGATGGGAGAGGGTTGGGGGTTGGTGAGGGCAGTGATGTGGTACATGCAAATACATACATGTATAAGGGCATTTGATCTTTTGGTTAGTACGATCTTGGGTGGGGGAGGGTGGGGGTGTGGATTTTGTGGGGCTTTGGGAAGGGTGGGGGAAGTGTGGCGATGGTGGTGATTTGGTACATGTACATTCATGTAAGGGCATTTGTTGAATTAAGTTGGCATTTAAAAAAAACAGCCCTCATACCTTGGTTTACCATCCTGAATCCTGATCAGACCTTGAATTTGGGAATTTTTAGGGCAAGGCCACTTTGGCCTTGAATGAAACAAAATTATAGAGGGCACCAGGGCCAAACTAAATATCTGCAGAAGGGGCACAGAGGCCGACAAAAAAAATGCAAATTGGTAACCCGTGCGACAGTTTACTACCAATGCATAATTACCCTGTGCGTGAATAATCGCGCGCGCTTGGTAAATAGCAAAAATAGCATCTGGCATGTGATGGTGAATGGACCAGTGACTAGGCTCTTGATCATGAATATGTATGAGCTATAGTAATGTGGACTAATGTATATCACAGGTGGACAAGGACCTGTCCCCAGTGAGGGCGCTCTATGAAAAGGGTCCATCGCGAATCTGTTTACGTCTCTGTCATATTTTGCAGAGAGGGAGTTGCGGCAGGACAAGCAGATTGAGATCTCAACATGGGAGGAGGTGAAAGGTGAAGACTATTTGGCAGAGATGAAGCGACAAGCTCATCAGGAATCCAACAAGCGAATAAAACAAACTGATGAGAGGTAAGTCCATTGCATGATATCTAACAGAGCATCAGAAAATAAGGTGTTTTATTAAAGTGGGACGAAAATATCCAAAATACAGTTGTGTGTTCTTTACTAGTGTGTTACCTCCTGAGTGAAAGTTGGAAAAAAACCACTCGGGTGGGACTCGAACCCATGACCTCCTGCTTTCTAGTGCAGATGTCTTACCACTCGACCACCGAGCTAACGGGATCAGTTGGCTGGTTCGAATCTGATGTACATAGCAGCGGGTACAGCATAAACTATTATTAGATGGAACTTTGCGTCGGGGTGATATAAATCAAATTAGGTTTTGCCCTTCACCGACGTTTTGCCCTTCGGAGGTCGTGGGTTCGAGTCCCACCCGAGTGGTTTTTCCAACTTTCACTCGGGAGGTACGTTAAAGCTATAGTCCATCATTTGCAGCTATCCAAAAAGTAACTGGCGTAATTATTGTTGAAAAACATACTTGGTTGAAAGATTGTAAGAGGACTAAACTCCCTGTGAAATTATTCTTTCTGGCAAGCTGTCATTTTGAAGTAATCAACGAAAGAAAGCCTGTCCAAGGGTGCTTCTTAAGATGCACCGTAGGAAATTTAAATTAGTAGTTCGTTTTATTATTCGGCGAAGCACGCGCAAGCATTGGCACGACGCACACGCACGCGCGGTTGCTATAATTTGTCGGATCAGTGCGTGACATTGCGTAGCTGCAATCGGCTCAGTGAGAACGTGTCTCCGACGCTGAATTCAGGCTTAATTCAAAACATTATTCAGCAACTTTTGATTTGAAATTGAGATCCTAGAATGCTGTTTTTCTCGGAATATACAGCTGAAGCTGAGCTGAAACTTCATCAGGTTAGTTGTTCAGTACCCTTCTTTAGATTTTGAGCACTTTTGTTGCTTCAAGCGAACAAAATGCACAAATTACAAATGATGGACTATATCTTTAAGGGAACAATATGGAAGTTTATTTGAACTCTTTCAAGATGATACTGATTTCATGCTTGTGTAATCTGAAACAGGCTTGAGGCTTTGTCATCCAAAATGACCATATACTTTCAAGGTGGGAAGCTTAACAAAGCGATGGAAGGACGCTTTAACATCATGGAAGCACAGGTATGTCAAAGTGAAGAAGTCCAGTAAAGATTTCATCGATAATACTGTTTACGGAAATCTCTCAGTTGCCAATTGAATAAAATAATTCATGTTAAATAAATGTCCGTTTTTAAGCCCTGGCAGTTGCTTCTACAAGTCACTTGGTGGTCGGTCGGTCGGTTGGTCTGTCTTTCTGTATTTGAAAATTGACCAAATTTATTTCACCAAAAAATGGACCAAATGCTTGCCGTGGTCATATAAATAGACTCTTGTCGAAAGCTTTTCTTTCGATTGATGCACGTCTATTTAGTATATGAAGTGAAACATTCCTAAACCGGGCCAGAGCTTATTGTGCAATCGCACTTGTTGATTATTTGAAAGCTGTGAATTTTGCAAAACCTACTGTCCAAGTTCACACGATTTCTTTGTCAATGAAAGAAAACTCACTGGTTGTTAACAGTTTAACAAGTGGTCAAATTCAGAGAAAATAAATAAAAGACCATACATGTCATGTTGAGCCACGAAGCCAGTGTTGTAGTCAAGTACTTTTTTCCGAGTACCGAGTACTGCCGAGTACTTAGGTTGCTGAGTACAAGTACCTCTTGAGTACAAGTACAGGTCTCTAAGTACCAGTATTTGTACTTCCAAGTACGAGTGCGAGTACTTGTACTTCTAAGTACGAGTACGGCAAATGGTTCATTGTGCGTAATTGGCCCAGGCCAAATCAGACTGATACTCAGACGCACTCACTGCTAGTTTTGAAATGTGTTTGTCCTGACGTGCACAGAGAAAAATCAGAAAACTTTGATTTATCCACAAGCCAATCAACCATTTCAAGCTGAAAGTATCGATAAAATAAGGCCATGGTAAGTCAAGCTATACCATTTCTTTTCCCCGAGTACTGCTATTCGAGTACGAGGACTATGATGATCGAGAAAACTTCGTCATGTCGAGTAGGAGTACTTTGCTGCCCGAGTACGAGTACCGTCATTTTGTGTACGAGTACTTTGACATTTGAGTACGAGTACTCCAAAAAAAGAACTTGAGTAGTACTCGGGTACGAGTATCGAGTATGAGTACTACAATACTGCATGAAGCACTACTCGGGTAATCCATTAGGAGACAAAAAAACTATTGTAGCGTGATTTACTATTGGGTTCTTGTCCTCCTAATCCAGCCAAACGCAGGGAAAGTGGACAAACACAGGATTTGCAACTCATAAAAAACTCTGATTGATTTCTGCATACAAACACCAGAAAAGCTTCACTGCAGTCAACGTGCAACTGAACAAGCCTACAAACAATGACAAACACACCGCTGATTCCCAGCATATTGCAAAGACTGAACTTTATATACAATGTAATAAACTTAACTCGCGCTGGAGTCTTACCAAACCCTTCCCGCATTAACCGAACAAAAGAACCCCACTAGAGTAGTCTATTTACAGAAATTAATTTCTTGAGCAGGCACACTCACCAACTAAACTAGGTCAGCACTCCTTGTAGACAAACTACGCCAAACAAAACTATAAAAGATACTAATGTAAACTGTCTGTTACACTTTTGATACATGAAGTTAAAGGAAGATACAACATTTGCAAACATCACAAAAACGAAATGATCAAATTATCACGAAATGCCTTACTGAATTGTTGGGGAATGACAGTCTAAAGCATCCTGTAAAATCGTGGCTCCTGATGTGCTGACATTTTAAAGAAAAACTGTATATGTATTTCCAATGCTGGTCGGCTGACCAGCATTGGAATTTGTTTTTCAAAAACTGCTCCTAGTTTTTCTATTTAGTTATTCCGCATTGTTTTTGCAATTGATTACACACCTGTGAAGGGGTACAAACGTGCTAGACTGATTCTTTAACCTTACAATTCCCCAAAGTATATAAATTGCTCTGTTTCATCTTAAGTGGGGTCAGGGAACCAGACTACGAGAGCATGATTGGTTTTCTTGGTTTTTCAAGCATCTTCAAGCCCAATATGTGAAACAAGTCAGTTTAACAATATTTGCTATAACACACTAATCCTCCAAATCCATTTATTTCTGAAAATTGCAGCAAAAGCAAATGTTGTACATTCCCTTTAAAGCGAAAAAAACATTGCTTTAGAACATGATGAAAAAGATTTCTCACTACTGTGCAGATTGCCAACGTGGAGCGACTGGTCAAAAGTCTGAGTGGTGCCGGCATGTCATCGGACACTAGCGATAGCGCACATCAGTCCTCAAGTCATTTGCAGGTCCTAAGACATCACCCAGAATCCTACCCACTGATAAAAAGCAAGTCGGCAACTATAAGATGAAATAATGAGCCTACAGAAAACAGAGATGCTGTTATGTACATGTATTTCAAGACCATAGCAAGAAGAGGAAAGAATTCTTCAAGTTGCTCTCTTCCGGTGTTTTTTCCCCATTTCACCTCAAAAAATAAATGTTGGTTATTAAGCCATTAGCAGCTGTACTACATTGTATTACATTTTATCTATTCACTGAAGAATCCATCAAACTATGTTTGGGCGGTTTGATGCGCTACAGGAAGTTATTGAAAATTGAGGATTGAAACTGTCCTCGATAGAACAAAAACGTTTTTTTCCCCATAAAGTAAAGCATACAAATTGACAAAAATATCAGTAGAAACCAAATCAATTATTAGTTTAATAGCACGGGTAAAGCAACATCAAGGGCCAAAGTGTCAATTGTAATATTGAAATTATTAAAGAAGTCATCCTTCCATTTTTTTAAAGTGAAATTATACCCTTTCAGTTGGAATTACTGCTATACTAAAATCTGTTGTTTTGTGACTTTGGTCTGGGGGGGGGGGGGGTATTGGTCCGGGTATTCTGAAATGTGTTCTAGTTGTTGGGTTTTTTTTTTCTCTAAAAGGTGTTTACCATAAAATGATAATAGTTGGAAAGATCAGTAAAAGGAAGAATACAAATGAGCACACAACTATATCTTGACCACTTGCAGTTTTCCTGTTATTAGGGTAAATGAATTTATGGATACAAAATTTGTTTCTCAAAGATTTAGCTGTGGGAGTGTGTAATAGTCGCACATGTATCACATGTATCATATTTCGAAAAACTTAGGTTACTTGACATGCATTATGTGCAATTGACGCTTATTTGATGTACATGGTGAGTTAAACAAAAAGTGGAATCCAAGCCCCCCAAAATACATTTCATATTTAGAAACATATGTAGCACCAAACATAATAATGACTGGAAAGCCAATTTCATAAGCTACTTTTAGATGAAAAAAAAAACAGTACTGAAATTGCTCAATCCGTTCAAAGAATATCACCATTTAAAGGCAATGACCCTAAAACCTGTTTCGTCCAAACAAAAAGCAGTTTAGTGTGTATTCTGACTGTTTGGAACAACAAAGAAAATGACACAGAATACTTGTTTCAACAACTATCAACAACTGTTGTACACAATATTTGTATTAACAACCCTGGTTAGGCAAACAATGTGATTTATAAAATCCCTTTTTCTTAAAGATGGGCATTCAAGGACTTTTTTTTTTACTTTTAAACTGAGGTTTTATCGCTGGTGTTGTTTGAAGGCAATTGTGACGACGATTCTGAAATCACATTTTTTTGGGGGGATGAAAGAAGTTTAAGGGTTATTGTGCTTAAATGGTGATATTCTTTGAATGGATTGAGCAATTTCAGTTATGTTTTCATCTAAAGGCAGCTTATGAAATTGGCTTTCCAGTCATTATTATGTTTGGTGCTACATATTTTTTTTAAATATGAAATATAATTTTGGGGGTTTGGGTTCCGCTTTCTTTTTTACTCATCCTGTACGTTGAAGGTCTTATCATTCTACCTATATGGTCTTATAAGCTGGAGAAAGTTTTCAATTTGTGTGTGTGTAAAATAATAGAGATACTAGTGTTGAATTTCTGTTACCCACATTGTAAAAAGGAATTGGCTTAAAAAAGGTGTTTGGCAATGTTGTTTGCCCAACATTGGTATGAAATTATCTAAATTGTTGGTTAACTCAGGTACAAATTGACCAACTTTGGAACGAATTTGCCCAAGAGTAGGGCTATTTTGTGTAGACAGTTGGTATGTCAACCAACATTAACTAAATAACCAGGTTGTCCGTATTTGTTTTGTTTTTGTGTAGAACTTCATAATAGGGTGTGTAAATAACAATAAAAATTAAAGCAAAATGTTGAATTGACGATCTCAGAATGAATGGCATCTGTTGCAATGGCAAAAATCTTTCTTATGCAGTTGTGTGACCCAAGGAAACAGTTTTGTCTTTCATCATTTATGTCGGAGAGGAATATGATGCATGCATCAAAAAAGGGTAATTCTGCCGGTGTAAATTTGAAACACTGCCATGTTTTGTAATTAACCTTGCTTTATGCTTGTGTCACATTGGGTAGGGTTAGTTTGTATAATTGCAATGGGTATTACAGAAACACTGAACATTGTAGATTCTTTGAGGGACACGTCATGCACGTAGTGCAGGTAGAAAAAGTTGAAAAGTGCCAAATCTATCCTTCCGATTGGAATTACATTGGAATTACAGTGAAATCTCGATAAGTCAAAACCCGTTAACTCAGAAACCCTTCTAACTCGAAGTAAAAACTTATTCCCGTCTATTGTTGTGGAATAGAAAATCCATTAGATAACTCATAACTCTGCTTAGCTCAAAATTTGAGCCAATTGCCCTGAGGTTTGACTTATCGAGATTCCACTGTACCTCCGTACTGAAATACTTCGTCTTGCCATTTTGGTCTTTAGCTTTGAGGATTTTTCAGGTTGCCTACATGTAATAATACATAGGAACATTATGATGCAATTGTATTATCAAGAAAAACAAATTCAGTGCTCCGTATGAATTACGTGATCTATTATATCAACTTTCATGTTTGAGAGAGGAATGCAATGCGTGCATGTACAGTTAATGATTACAAACGTAATGTGTATTTTAGGAAGTTATATTGTTATTTTTCAATGACGTAGGAGTATTTCGTATATTTTTCTAGTGATGAGTATATCAAGAGAATGAACATTTTGTATATATAGCTTCTTGAAAGAAAGAAAGAATTTTGTTGCGTATGGAATCGCAAGTACACAGTATTATAGTTCTGTTTAACTTGTAGAAACAAAATAAATAGTTTATAGGCCTAGTCAAGTATATTCAATGTCCATAGTCTTTTGCTTTTAAAAGTTACAACAGTAGATTTTATATATAGGTTTTCTCGGTCAATTTCGGCAAATGAGCAGCCAATTTAATTTTTGTGCGTTCGAATTGAAGCTATTTTGCCTCTCCAGTTGTTACTGCGTTTCAAATTCAGAATTCGGCCATTCAATTTCGTTTTGAGGCATTCAAATTCCTTTAGCACTGTGTTCAATTTAGCATATCGTCATTCTTTTTCGTGACACACAATCATCATTCAATTTAGCAAAGCTGGTTCGACTGGAGATTTTACTGATTTAATTTTTTTCAATTTCGTAAAGAGGCAATCAATTTCGCTTAAAGAGAATTCAAATAAGTACGACTAAAGAAATACGAATAAACAGATAAACTGTACTAGGCAACTGTTTCGTATCTTCACTTTAATTCAGGCAAACCTTGTTTTCTTTATTTATGCTTCCAGTAGACTTTACATGGGGCCAATGAGGTTTTTTCTTCTTCTTTGTTTTCTTCTTCATTTTTTTTTTTGGGGGGGGGGGATCTTTATTGGTTAACTGACCAAGACCTAATTTTGTATTGTGTTTGAATGGGGTGTTTCTTTATGTTTTTCCTGGTTTTTTATTGTTTATGTTGTTTCTTCCTCAACCATCAATCTGTTGGCGTGCCAGACATCTTGGCATATATGTTTGGGTATGGTTGTACCACTGCATGCACTTCACTTGGGTGATGACATCAACGCTCTGGATGGCTGCTTGTTGAAGGAGATCGCACCTCCACTGCTGCATGTTCATTCCTGCTTGCTGGGCAGCCTGTCTGTCTCCGACACGTTGTTGCCACTCAGGTAACCCAAGGATGCGTTTAACTGCAGCCTTGAATGCAGAGTGTGCCATCTCCGTGCTGTTCAGGAATGGGGAGTAGGGAGGGAGGGAGGCGCTTCAGCTGGATCATTGGGTTGGCACCTTCAGGGAGTTGGGCTCGCACGTGAGGCCTCGCATTGTCGTATATGAGGTAAATGGGTTCGTCGTCTGGGAAAACTGCATCACACTCTTGAATTGTGTCCGCAAGAAACTCCTCGAATCTCTCTCGCGTCACAGTTTCGAATGCGATTCGGTGGTGCACCAAGCCTACTTCACTAGAAACAGTGAAGGTGACATTGCAATTTCTCCCTCGTCTGTCGACGACTCGTCTTGCAGCGATCCCTCGTGGAGCTCTACCCTGGGAGCGTCGAGTCCAGACGTTATAACCTGTCTCGTCAATGAAGACTAGATGCGCCAGAACACCTTGCTGCAGGAACCACTCACCATACTGGACGCGTTGATCAAGAACTTCAGGGGAATTTCTTGCATCAGGGACGTCCTCCACTAGTTTCAGTGTAATCATCATCCCATCCAAGGCCCTGGCTATGGTGGCAGTAGAAACCTGGGGCTTCTCTGGCAGATGCTCACTCAAACTAGCCTTCATTTTTTTGAAGTGTCAAGACGGGATTAGCGTCAAGGATGCCTTGCAGATGGTTTCGCATGTCATCATCCATCTTGCTGTGGGTTGCTCCTCCTCTTGCCAGCGTCTCTCGCCTTCCAGTCCTCAAATATGTTGCAACAATTGATCTGGCTGTGGACTTGTTGATGTTCAAATTGACCGCAAGCTGAAGGTAGTCTTGCTCGTTTCCCTCGAAGGCCTCAATCAACCTTTCTCGATCTACCTGGGCCACTCTAGCGTAGCGACCACGAGCTGCCATTTCTAGAAATATGCGTGTAAAACTGTAGCGAAAGCTCGTCTTCGAAGTACATCGGCAAAGTGACTCAAGTGCCAAAAAGTGAACCGTATTATGCCTTCAACATTCTCAAGGAAACAAAAATTTAACAAAGCGTTTTTTAGATTGCACAAATTCCAGAAATGACTGCCCAAAAATGAATTTGAATGACTAAACACACGCCTCAAAAAGCTCCTGCGAATTTGAATGCTGCTTTGTTGAATTGTTAAATTGCATGATTATTTTGTTAAATCGAATGACGCAACAGCACATTTGACTGGTCATAAAACGAAATCGAATGACCCTTTTCAGTAGCATTTGATTTCGCGCGAAATAGAATAGCGTAGTGGTTAAATTGGCTGCTCATTTGCCGAAATTGACCGAGAAAACCTATATTACATTTCTTGATTTTTTTGTGTTAAATAATGCGCCATAGCCAGGTTTTTTTACAGCATACAAAATATATTTAGTTTTATATGACACTTGAAAGTTTTTAGAGTTTGCTACTTTAAAATATTTTTGTAGTATGCGTTTACATTCTTCAAGAGGTTTTACTAAATGTTCATAAAATTAGACCGAAAGAGAAAATGTAAAGGGGATTGGATGCTAAAAAAAAACCCAAATAATAAATAATAATACAAGTAATAGCTCCATCAGGAACACGTTCATTGATAATTGTTTTGGAATGTGTACATTAATACATTTTTAATCATTGTATGTTTTAGCCCTGAAAATATATAACCAGCGTAGATGGTGAAACCTTGAGTGTTTTGTTTTGTTACTTTGATTTTTAACATACAGCTTATTGTTTGTGGTTTGTTGGCTGTTATTGGTTTCGTACTTGTTGATAATAAGTTAACCCTGACCCGGTTTAACCGTTCACGCATGCACGGTTTCTTTGTGTTTTTTAGGCCTTTGAGACCTCCCGATTCCGAATCGGCGTGATGCCATCTCGGCATCCAAGGAGAATGACTTTATGCAATTTATATACGTTGTATATTTGCGCTCATTTTATATGCCTTTAAAATAATTATGATCAGTTATATTTATAGAGTACAAATAAGCAATTTACTTGTTTTGAAGTACATGTATGCGAAAAAAGGTTTGGAATCAGCAGGTTTAATAAAGTGACCAAGAAACCACCCCAAAAGATTGTTCCACTTTACAATTCCATTTTCCAATTTCCATTTTACAAAAAGTTGGTGCAACTCGTCTGATTACAAAATAGCACCGGGGCCATAAATGTCTTGAAGCAGCCCAAACTGGGGTCCCCTTTCGGTGTTATGGCTATTTC